TGAGGATTCCGTGCATAACAGATGATTTTGGTAGGAGACAAACTATCTGTTTGATAATTGCCTTAAGTGTATTATTTTCTTCTTTCAGCTTTAAAAGGAAACGATCTTTAGATGTTGAGATCTTGTTCTTGTTTTGTGTCACTTTGTTTACATATTTCTTTGATAATTGTCAAGACTGCAGCCTCCAGTATGTGTCTCTCAGATATTTCAAAGCTTTCTCATTAGGCAAAAAAGAAAATATGCAAAATGTTTGTATTGTAGAGTAAGAAGGAGCAACCAAACATCTGGTTTTCACCCACTCAGAATCCATCTGGTTTCTGCTCTTCCAGGCAGCTGTGAGACGACACAGGCAGGAGACTTCCTTTTTCCTCGGCTCAATGAGCCTCACGAGCCTACGCTTTCAAATAACCATTGTTTCAGGGAAAAATACAAACATAGTCAGAAAGTTTGATGACTTCTAAAGTTAGGACATTTACCCTTTTACTTTGACTTAGAGACATCATTTATAAAGTAACAGTATTTATGTCAGATTTCCCCTTGGATTTCTTGAGAAGTCTTACATAAACATGACAACACTGGCACATGCCACAAATCTCAATCACGCGCATCCCAGAGTGCACGCTTAGGTCAGGGTTATTTTAGGTTGAGGAGAAATTACTCAATTTAACTGAAAATGCAAACAATCCTCAGTTGCTTAATGCATTTTAGTTATTTGTCGAGACATGTAAACATCAATTCTGTCGTCAATCAAGCGTGAGAGACAATTTTCCTCTAAAGTGGCTGCCATCGCTGTGTTAACAGTGTGTGTGTCTGCTTGTGTGTGTACAGCAGTGTGTATTGGCTGTTCATTGGGCCTGCCTGTCTTGGTGTGTCTGATTTCTCTGTTGTGGTGTTGGGATTACTCTGGGGATTAGCAGGATACTGGCAGCACCCATCGATGGGACAGAGATGACAGTTACCATCATGTAGTCTCCCGCTTCAACCCCTCGCTACTTCCCAGACTTAAAATGGCACAAACAGCAGATTACATGAGAACGACAGCAGGGGAAGAAGTCACACATCGCACAGTGGAGATTAGGCGGAACAAACTCTTCTTCGGCTGCTTGGGGGTATTCAACCCAAACATTGAGAGCTGTTTCTCATGGCACAGTTTGGGCTGGATTAGGGAGCTGCAGAGAGCATTTCTTTGGACAAGAGTTTGGGAAAAAACAAATATGTTAGTCAAATAAATGGTAAAATAAAAATTGTAGTTAATATGCTGTTGTAAGCATCACCATTTTCACATACAAGAGCATTGGGTAGGACTTTCATCCATGTTTAGCAATAGAACTACATCAAATGATCTACCTCTAAAGACTGTACATTATCATATGAGTTTCACCTGTATGTTCAAGCCTTATGGATGTTTCCGTCTATCTCTTTCTGACCAAGCTAATCTGTATGACTCTAAAACCCAGTAGAAAAAGAGAAGTCTGGCTCTTGCCTGAATTCAGCCATTTGAGCCTGTACCTTTCAAGTTTTACAGACTTGCAATTAATGTTTGGAGAGCAGCATACATGGGAGTGCAGTGGATGCTGTACAGGCATGTCATATGAAAAAGACTCTAGCCGACTCCCTCCTTGTAAAGCACACAGAAACAATTATCTGTGTGCTATAGAAACTCTCAGCATAACAAAGATATATATCATCTTTTGTCGTTTTATCTGAGTTGGAATATAATGGTAAAGTGCGCTTTTGTACTGTAAGTTGACAGAATGGTTTTCATTGGAGTTTGAACAATGTACACTCTTTTATGGTCTATTGTGAGAGGAATGTAGACGGGGCTACAGGAAGGTGGGAGGATCGCAAGCTGTAATTGCATGTGGTGTATTGACTTGGTTTAAGAAGACTGTTTGAACATAAGCGTCAGTATGTTTAATAAGACTTAACTGTTTGTATGCGTATTGGCATCTTTATTTTGGCATGCAGTTTGTTACTGTCGGTCTTAACCACCACTCTCTGCAAACAACACACATCCCCTGTTTGTCCTATAGACACTTTGTTTCTGCTTTGATGCACCTGTCACTTTAGTAAGCCCAGTCTGTGTTACAGAATCTACTAGACTTATTATTATGGGCATTCACCTGCAGAGAAGTACAAGACCCCTACTCCGTACTCTGAAAAATATTGAGTGTTCAAAATCATCAAGAAGCCACGGTTCTTTAGTTTTAACACCTTCGGCTAGATTTGAATATTGAGCCATATTTGCAGAGGTGTTGATTTATCTGGTGAGAAATGTCAACTCTTGTTAACTTGAAATAACTCTAAATTTAGGAAAGTCAAAAAGTATCCACACCGTCAAACTTGATCTGAGACCCAATTTGCACCAAACACTGGCTGTGTGTATTTTTAACATTGTGAGTGTTATTCTGCCATGGGATTAATTTATTTGCATCAGTGCTAAAGTCAATTACAGAGAAACAATTGAAGAAAAGCAGGACTTTTTGACAAGGACCCTTTTGTACAGTGTTTATAATTTAAAACGTTATTGTTGCAAATAAAACATCTGATTTATAGATATGTAGTTATCCAACAATTTAAGGGTTTCCAGACAATGGAAAACTGGTGTTTTATGCAAATGTGTTTTGTCTTTTAAGCTTGCATTTTTTGTCTGACAAAACACTTTTTTGTAATTTAAGTACATTTTATTACCTATTATATTATTACTTTTATTAAAAGAAAAGTTAGAATTTTGGAAAAAAGTGCTGTATTTGCCCTCTTGCCAAGAGTTATGTAATAAGATTGATACTACTCTCAAATATGACATTAGTATCTTAAATATGGGAGTGGTATCGACCCTTGCAGTAAACTAATTTATTAAAAGATTACCGACATCTACAATTCTTTTTTTTGTATTAAGTAGAATACAAATAGCATTATGGAGTTTTCAAAATCAGCCCACTATACACAATAACACACAAGCACACTCCACCTTGGACATCATATGTTTAACCTTCAATGGTTAGCAACAATGTTTTTTTTTTTTTAAATATGTAAATATCAGAGCACTCACTTTCTGAGTTTGCAATGAAAATGAGAATGGGAACATTATAATGGCGTGTGTGGCTAAATGCACCTCAGCACAAACTACCACTACCTGTCAAACAGAAGGATGATGTACATTGAAAACACATTCGCTTCCTCGTGGCACTCACATCTATCACAAGTTTATGGCCACTCTCCCCACTCTAGCACATCTCTGCTGTGACATCCATCTATGTCACCGTCCTAACTTGCATATCCGGAGGCCTGTGTTGTTTTTCCGTCTTTTAAGTGTTCATAAGATATTCTTGACAGGTTTCACCATATGTTGTCTCTGCATATGCGAGCATTTGTGGATTCTTCTTATCGAGAGTAGCTGGAAGGTCAACATTTTTTATAGTTTAATGTCATGTTAAATGATGGGTGAATGTGTGACGGTTCTGACAAGTAATTCTCCATATGCACTACATCAGGTGACTAACTAAGCTGTTTCCTTGCAAGAGCATGCCTCTGCTATTTTAATAAAGATTGCGTTGGGAGATTACTCAGGCATTCAGCTGCCAATGTCTCACATCAAAACTGTTTCATTTGCATAGTAGGGAAGAAATGTGGTTCTGTTTACCTTCAGCTAACATGGCATGCTGAAATATAATAAATATATGCCTGTGTATGCATGTGCAAAAAGTATTAATGTTCTGTTTTTACAGTCACTGTGTTTGACATTTGGGATGTATTTGTACTGCTGTAGAACTTCAGCTCTGTTACGGGGCGTAAATCTTCTCAGGTTTTTCCGAAGACACAGTGCAGTGGCTGATGCTCTGCGTGAGGGGCAGGTAAATAGGAAAGGATCTAAATCATCCTACAGCAGCATTACACAGCAAACTGGAGCAACCCAACACACAGATGCTGCTGCTGCTTATCACAGTGCTGCAGTGCTAGGGAGGAGCTTGAATACACTCACAGCAGTAGCTTGTGGCAACTTCCTCCTGTCTCCAGATACTGTGAAGTTTGGTCACACACTCTTGTGAGTTGACAAGTTGGATAATCCTCCTTATTAGTCAATAAATCCCCATTACATTTACCACTACAAGTCTGCAAACAAGTCACTTTTGTTGGCGTGAGTATGTGCACTAAGTACAACACTGAGTTGTGCATATCAATGCTTGTGTTCTGTTTTTGAAGGATAACTGTTTGTCATCCTGCTCCCTGTTCCTGAAACATGCACATATTGTGTTGAGTTTTAGCATTTCTTTCACGAAGCATCTGCGCATAAGAATAACGTGTGCATAAATGCATGAATATCTGTTCTATCTATTAGGTTCTCTGTTAACAAATATGTGTTGAACATCTCCAATTTCTGATGCAATTGGGATGCAAGCAATAGTCAGGCATTAACCTTTACTTTCCTGACACAGAGACTCCTCTTAACCATCAGAGGGCACTAAAAATCCACCTGATGCTCTCAAACATTCAGAGACAATTAATCTAAACATCACTTGACTTAGAGCCAGTCTATTTGGTCAAAGGCAATATGAAAACAATTGTAAAGTACATGCTTGGTTGTATATGAAGAATAATCCTCTTTATCAATTTTTAAATGTTGAACGAATTTTAATAATGAGGTAAGTCTGATGCAACCATGTGCTTTGCCCTGGCTGAATACAAAGTATCTTAATTGTACATGCAGACAAAGTTGCAACTTCCTAGCGCGTTCTATGTAAAGAAAAAACGTCTATTTTTCTGTGTAATGAAAAATAAACCCATACATTAAACGAGACTGGAAATTGATTGAAAGTTTGCTGATCAGTCTTATGGAAATTATAAGACACTAAATATGTCACGTTGATCATTTCTTCACTCAAACCAACGCAGGGTTAATCCTACCAGCTGCGTATTGGACGTGGCTTCCTGAGCGGATGAACAGTGACAGATGATGAGTTTAGTGCCCTGAGGATTGCGCACAAGACAGTCAGTGATCTATTAACAGCCGTTTAACACCGCAGAGTCCCAGCCGCGGCGGCAGACTGGGAGACCGACTCAAGCTGGAGGATTTGTTAAGATAATTCGCTTAGAAGCATAATATTGATCGCACCGAAACATTCTCCGTGTCACAGTTTCAGCTCAAGACTTCTGACCGGGCAAAAAATCTCCAGGAGAGAGATCTCCAGGATCGTTACGCACAACTTTTACGCACAAACGGAGACCTGCCGATGAACAGATCTTCATGTCACCTTCAGCACGGACTATACTACAATTTATACTCACACAGGTGTGATAATGTTAAGTGTGCGAACTGCAGGAATGGATGAAACGATCCGCTACATGCTCTGCTAAAACAACACCAAACCACGGACACTGGGAACTTGCCTGTCACAGCGAGCAGCGCCGGGTGCCAAAATGAGCTTTTACCACCAGAGCTGGAGGATCTTACATATTGTCGTTGCAACAATTACAGCCGTTCTCACACAAGGTAAGTGACCTGGAAGTAATAGTTTTCGTGTTTTGGTGTATTAAAATCTAAAATGCCCACCAGGGACAAACAGAAGTCAGCTTCTAGCAAAGTGAAAGGAATTATCCTCAAGTTTAACTGTTTCATACTGTTTCAACACATTAACTGATAACAGTTGAAAACGAATGATCTATTAAAGAGAACTGTCCTTCTTGTGCACGTGTTACTGATGGGGGTTGGCCTTCACTGAGCAATGCCATGCCAGCTGTGAAACAGCCTTCTCTTCTAGTCTAAATAATATATAAATGTCCTCATTTGTGCCACAAACTTACGTCTCACTTCACAGTGATACAGCTTTCCAGTGAGCCAACAATGAGCATTGATGTTTTGTGGCAAAGGGGTGTGACAGCAGTGAGTGGAGGTATTAAACATGTAGGATGAAATCGGTGCGGAGTAAAATCGTTGATGGGTTTACATTACAACTCGAGGCATGCCTTAGCAATTCACTTTTGTTTGGGAGGAATTGCTTCCCCAAATTGTGTGCTAGAAAATGTTCACATAGCAAACAAGAAGCAGACAATCTGAAATTCCAACTTTGATAATGGAGAAAAAAAAGCATATCACAAAGGCATTTACTGTAAAGCCTATAACTGCCTCGTAGATTGCTATTTCCAGGGAATACAGGCTTGCTGATTTATGTGGATAAAAGGATGACACAAAAGGAGAAAATGTGATAAAACCGGAGATTTAAGAGTCTCATTGGACATAGAAATCCCTACCAATCACTGCAAAAGCTTAAGCCTTCCTCTCTCTCCCCCTTTCCGCCTATCTTCTCCAACCCTCACTCTACCCATCCCCTCGGGCATTACATGCTGCATGATCAGAACATCCTATTTGTATGTTAGTATAAAGCACTTCATGCAAGATGAGAATATAATGCTGCCAACAGCACTTTTACTAGACCATGACATTTGACTGACAAGGAACTTTTACATTGGAAAGTGTGGAACTGGGTTCTTCACTCCACTGTTGACAGCACATAATTCAACATCATGACAAGAAGTAAATGGCACAACAACAAATCAGCTAGGGAGTCTTGACCAAAGAACATACATAAACTTCCACTGAAGAGTTTTGAACAACTTGCAAATTGCTTATTGTAACAACCCAGACATTTGAGATCATTATGTACAAAATAGGTAAGCAAACTCAAAATCTTTGTGACTTATCTTTTAATTTGGACAGCTATACCCTAAGTAGATTCCTGTAGCAGACACTACATTGTATCACACACAAGTATGTCTTCCAGACCTTTTTTTGGATCACATCATTCCAAACTTTCTGGATGCCCTTTAATAATTTACCACAATGTTGAGAAATACCAAAAATAACTTTTTGCAACTTTTAAGAAATCCCTTGAGTGTGTCTGTCCTCTGTTGTTAGGCACTCTTTACCCCCCAAGATTATTGCCAAAGGCCTTAATGTCTCCAAAAATACCGAAACATCTTTGTATTTAACCTATACTATATTTTGGTGTAAAGATTGGAAATTGGAAAGGTCAGCCAGTCAAAAGAGAAAAACACATAGTGCTAACATAATTTCTAAGACAGAAAATATTATCTGCTTCAGGTGCTTAATTATCGTTATCGTTATTGATGTATGACCTATAAAGCTAATATAAAAAAGGGAAAGAGAGACACAAAAATATCTCAATTACTGATTAAAATGAAGACATCCGTTGTTGTCCTCTGTGATGCTATTGGGAGCTGACTCTCCCTCTGCAATCTGTTTTGCACATATGGTGAATGTCATTACCGCACATTAGAATTCACAATGTTTACTCCGCAGTTTAATAGAATAATAAATACATTTATTATAATTTGGGAAATGCTGAAAATAAGTTAGCTGACATGTCTTTAAACATATTTTAATATAGAGCCTTGAGACAAACTGTAGAGCCAAATGTATCGCATTAGAGACAACAGTGTTTTGTTTTTTAAACTGGTGATGGGGAACATTACTTTTAAATGGATCTGTACATCTTAATCCCCAAAGTAAACTTTTCAGTAAGAGGTTTCAACAGAAGACATTTCAGTACACTTTCCAAAGTCAAATACCATCTTTACTTTCCACATCCATTCAAATGTGTGGATTTAAAGCCCTCATTGGACTGTATTTCCTTCATACAGGTGGCAGAGCTGAAAGATATTATTTGATCCTTGGCATAAAGGAGCTCTCCAGTTTTTTTGCCCTCATAAGAGAGCACTTAAAGGTAGGGTAGGTAAGAATGGAGAAACCAGCTCGAGTGCGCTATAATTTGTATACGCAGCCGAAAAAAATCTGCCCCTTCCTTCAGACTTCCTTACAGAGCCCCTCCTCCAAGGCCGGCTAAAATAATTGGTTGTGCTTTTTACAGCGCTACGGCTTCCACAGATTTTTTAATGTATTTATTGTCAAAGCATTTAATGTATTCATTGCTATCGGGATGTTAAGAGCATTCCATGGAATATAACAAAAAGTGTTTCTGAAGTGAATTACCTACCCCACCTTTAACCTACATACTGTGAAGGAAAGAAATTAAATAAAGAGACAATTCAAGGCGTTGAAAAGGAGCAATCTCAGAGTGGTGTCTTTTAGAGGCAGCTGTAGCATCTGCATGGCAACACTGATGCTTTTTGACTCAGCCAAGGAGCAAGAGAAGCTCAGGGTCTTCAAAAGAGTGATTTGAGAGGCTGTACCAGCTGGTGCAGCGGATTTTCTCTCATGTTTATCGGCTGGGGGCAGGACTCTCATCAGGATGATAGGACCATAGAAGTACAGCTTCATCGGCCACTTATTAAACATCCAAAATATTGGCAGAGGCATCGGGTGCATCTTTTGCACTTTGCCAGGACACATTACAAACAGTGCTTGCAAATAGTTGCGTGCTATTTACGCCTATTTACTCTTGTTTGACTCTTTCTGAAAATAAATAGCATGTGAAAAAAACAGAGAGCACAGATGACCCATTTAACCCAATTGTAAAGGGATGAGCTTGCATGTGAGGTACTTTGTTGCCACATTGGCGGTACATTCTCCCTCCAAGAGACAGTGAGCCAGTTTACATTCACTCCAGCCCTGGTATTAAAACAGCACATCTGTCACTATAGCGACTGCTAGGCTAAGCCAGGACAGCACTGTTCCTTGCTCCAGTCCCTGCCACATGCAGTGTGTTGCCCACTCAGAAAACATGACTGACACTCTTGTCTGTGTGTCAGGGAGAGAGAGAGAAGGAGGAAAAAAACAAAACATGCTATTGTTTTTTCCAAGGGCTGCTGGGTGACATGATTTTGACGCGAGCAGTGTAGTCATTGCTGTGTGAACTGTCAGACCCTCATGACAGGCTCTTTGGATAAATGAGGATTACAGGCAGAAGAGGCCATGATAGAGGGACGCGTCCATCAAATGCCAACAACCATCAGGGACATGGCGTCTGATATTGACATAGAAAAGCTTCAAACCTTTCTTGTTGGATAAATAACAGTTTAGAATTCAGGGACAGACAACTCTATATCTGACAACTTTCCTAATACTTCACAAATGCTTAAATCTAAAGACATTATCTCTTTTGTTAGACATTGTTAGCTTTGGTTTACCAGTGGGATGATTTTTGTTTTGGTCTTTGATGCTGTTTTTCTACCATGCTAATGCAGCCCCATCCATTTTGTTTTAATCTGCAAAGTAAACACAAGTGTTTCTGTCCTTAATTCACTAAGTACGGCAATTAGCCACCAGATAAAGACAGCACACTCAGGTCAGCTGCCATAATCTTCATAATTCTATCAAAATGGACGTTTAATCAGGACACTTGATGGCCGAGTGACCTCTGCTCGAGTCCACAGAGACAAACACTTCCATTAAGCTTTTAAACCAGCTCAGAGAATATTTATTCAGTTTTTTTTTTTTTTACTCACTTGTATAAAAGGTCATCCTATGCATGATCGGTATTTAACACTCAGCCAGTAATCCTTATGATCATTATACTAGTATACCGTCCTTTACAAAGCAACTAAAACATAAATACACATCTAACAAAATATTATACAGATATATTTTCAGATGTGTTTCTCTAAGCTTCATATTTTTAAATTAAAATCTGTATCATCGCCTTTACTTCATGTGGTGATGCTCCACCATTCATTTTGTTATGGGGGATCTGCTGGGTATTCACAGCCTGCTGTGCTGACAATCTGAAAAGCCATTTTAATCCCAGTTTTTGATGGGAGATTTGAACCTAGAGCCAGATGTATTAGATCCCACCTTTGCTCCTCATATAGAGAAAGCTGATCATCCATGAGAGGTGAAACTGGGGCAGTGGGCGGCATATGATATTCTTTTGCTTTTGAATTGAAGTAACAGAAGACATACTTTTAAATGAAAACATATGAATTGAAGAATTACTTTTATAATATATTATCTTTTTATGACATTTTATAAAAAATATTACTTAAATGGATATAAAATGTGTGGACTGTACAGAATTTGTTAGGGGCGAAGAGGGGCTCAGAAATGTTAATCCAACTTCTTTTTGGCTTAGGTCTTTTTCTTTTTTGTAATCCCAAACTTTTTTTTATTTTTAATTGAGCCCTCTTTGAAAACATATTTAATAATCATGCCAAAAAACAATTTATTTGACTTGCACAGTGTTCATTAAGGTGCACATGTAGAGGACACAACGTCAGTCTCCTTATCAGGGTTTTATTAATTTGCAAATTGTGGTGCACGTTATAATTTTTCATTAGAATATTAAAATGTAAATTTGGGTACACAATTAAAAGTGTTTCTTTGCAATTTAATACTGTTATATTATGTTTTATGTGTTGTTGGGAGGCTGTTGCATTTTCTTCTAAGTTAAGAACAGGGTTAAAAGAAAACACGAAAAGCTCAGGGCCTTGCTCGTTAAAAATGGGAAATAGAAGGTTCAGCTCTCCTCACGCCAATATTTTTTAACAGTCTGAGCAAAGTCACAGAGTTCAGCTGCTGCTTTATCCCAATTTCGGAAAGTATAACCCTTTTAAGCTTCCCTTTACATTAGTTCACCTATGTGTACTGTTACAGGCATTTAAGGTTAAGCTCAGAGGCCTTTTAGTCTAATACATTGATGTCTCACTAAGTTGATCAGTTGGCCTTGACTGACTTTAGGTTCCTGGAATATTGTCGGTATTTTTCACATTTGATTCTCAAATGTAAAAAAAGTCGTTCTCATTTTGTTGAACTCTAGTTGCTCAGACACGTGGAACTGTGACATATTTCCATGTATTTTAACAGGCCTACTGGGATTCTGTCTATTTTTACCTTACAGATTTGAGCAGTACCGAGCTGAGCGACATTAAGAGCCCAGTGCCTTTCCCTGTCTTCTTGCCTGTCAATTATGAGGTGCGAGATGCTGACTACCTCTTCCTTAAGGAAGCTGGGCAAGACTTCATGAGGAACTCCAGCATGCAGACTCACACGCAACCCTTTGTCATCTTAAGATCCAGTCGGCAGCCAGCGGTCAACGCCAGCTACGGCCCGATGTCCACAGAGCAGCTTGTGCCTCTAGATCTAGTCCAGTCTGTGCAGCTTTTCAACGCTCCGGAGGTCTTTACCTTTAACTGGAAAATCCAGTCCTTCGTGCTGACGCCTCGGGTTTTCTCCCCCAAGCCCAAAGTGCGCGTGCTTTTCTATGTTGCGGGTAGGGACTGGGACCGAGGAGAAGGAACTGTGGATGAGCTACCGTGTGTGACAGTGTACGCTTTCTGGCAGACTCAGGAGGTCAGGGGTTCCTGTGCCATGGGAGGCGAGAGGGGAACCTGCATGGCTGAGCTGAATCCTGCACCTGGTTGGTTTGCTGTGGGGTCAGAGGGCACCAGCAGGGAGAGGCAGGACCCGACTACTGGGAACCCTGTGGAGCTGTACTACCAGGCGCAACCCAAAGTCAATGGGAAGTGTAATTCTGTGGATGGAAGTCGTTGGGGGGGCTCACAGCAGCAGGCAGAGTATGTTCCCATCACAGCCATGCAGAGGATTGGCAGTGTTCGTCTTCTGCAGGTGCCCAAAGGAATGGCAACACTTTCACGGCTCAAGCTCGGCAATGCTATTGTTATACGGACATCTTCTAAACCACTGAAGAAGACTGATATCGCCACCTTCTACATACTCATGGCCAGCTCTGCTCAGCTGACTAACTTCACTCTCAGGTAAGGCTGTGTCTTCCATTAGCTCACAGTTTGTAGTGGTCAGACTGGCTGTGTTTTAAAGACTGAGGTAAAACCCTTCAGTCTAAATTAATTGGGTGATACGAATTCAATACATGGAATGGTTATCTAACTGTATTAGTCCTCTTCTCTTCTTCTTGCAACTCCTGTACCGTGAAAAATAAAGGAGTATTGGAGGGAAAGAGATTAAGCATTGATTATAGCATAGAGGGTAACTGTCTTTCCGAGAACTGGGGTATATTATTCAAGTCAAGTTAGACAGGTACATGTTCGAGTGAGCACAGCCTGATGACATGTACTGCTGCTTCATGAGTCATCAAGGTTGACATGGATCAAATAAGATCTCCAGTAGCTCGTGACAAATGTTTACTCTGCTTTCTGTGGTATCTCAACCTAATGCAATCGCTTGTGTTGAGATCATTAGTATAACCAGAATTGCTTAATTTGATTTGAGTCTTAATATGCAATGGACAATTTTCTCCTTTACTCCTTGGTATATAAGCTTATATGATACAGTTTTCCCAAGAATGATTGCCTCAACCAATGTTCTTATTATTCTCTGACGGAGAATAATCCAATGAACAAAGAAAAACAAAACTTAACCTGTTCATATGACTTTCTTTCAAGATGTCAGTTTGTAACTCCCCTTTACAAGGTGAAATGATGCAACATGGGAGATTTGCACCTTAAAACTGAACTTGAATTAAATGTCTCTCACCATTTTATGGACAGTGTTCATGGTCATCTGCGCAATAATGTATTTTATGATAATCATCCAGACGAGATCAAAGAGAACCACGTTGCAGGATAACTAGAACTGTCGAGGTTAGCTGTCGAAACAGACAAGTGGAGATTTACGTTAACTTGATAAGAGACTGATTTATTATTATTGTTCTAGACACTATCTGTTTTACTCCAAGTCAGTGAATAATGAACTGTCACAAGGTGTAAAATACATTGTCTCAGTTATTCAATACGTTTGTGTGTAGATTCATATCACGAGTAAAGAACGTTATAAATCCTTCTTATATGTGTTTTTGTTTCAAGTAATGATAAATGAAAATGATATGGTGCTGTTGAATGATGTCCAATAAGGTGCCGTGACAGGCTCAATAAGAAAGTCTTTGAAGGCAGCTTGTTCAAGTGTGTTAGTCCCTGAAAAATAGTTACAGCTTTTCTTAGTAGATTAAAAGACGCTTTAGTACACAATCAATGTTTCCTGAAAAATTAATGTGCTCCGAGTAACCTCTGACTTGCAAATTCATGCTTGAGTGGAGGTGAGCAGGTGAGGGGACAGTCATGCAATATTCATTCTTTTTTCACCTGGTTATGTATTCATCCACTGATTCACTTACTCACATCATTTTTGAATGGATAAATATTGATTGAGCCAACAGCTGTGCTCGAGTGCACCTGTACACACAGGTTTCTGACTTTAGCCATCCATAGTCACTCAACATTTCTCTCAGGTCATTCAGGGTTTTTTCTTCTGGTGCACAAACGTAGTAAAGAAACAAAAAGGTGTTTTATTCTTCGGGTTGTCTTGTGAGAATCTGAGAATGAATGAATCCACGCAATATATTTGACTAGCTTCATTCCTTTTCTGTCTTGATTTTTGCTGAAGCAATGAACCAAAAAAATAAATCCTGATTCCCCCTCTTCATTCCGTCACTTTTAATCATTGCTGCTCTAATTCATTTACTCAGTCACACATGTTTCTGAACAAAAAGCAGATGTCAGAAAAGCCTCCCTTCCCCACATCTTGCTTGTCTTCTTTCTTCTCCTTACCTTTCCTTTACATTTATTTCCTTTCTTATTCCCTTTTCATCTCCATTCCTTTATATTCCTCTCCTATTTCCTATTCTTCTCCTTTCTTTTGCCCTTCTCCTCTCCCCTCCTTCACTTGATTGGAAGATTGACACGCTTGTTAGTAAGCTTTGTAGTAATATTCTTGACATGCATAATACACTCACTGTACTTTTAACCGATATAAACAACCCCCCCCCACACACACCCCTCTATCAGCACATTAACAAGCCCTCTGCATCCGGTCCACAACAGCTGTCTGTGTGCTTCATCACTGTCTGAATGTCCCATTAAGCTTTGCTTAATTCTCTCATCAGCGTGATAAACCTGTTATTGATGCCACTAGCTAGAGTCAAGGGACATACACATTTGAGGTTGATCGAGAAAAAGACAAGCCACACCTGTCCTTTCCTGCAAAATGTAATCATTCTCAGCGATTGTTGGATAAAGGTCATAGATAGACTAAATTCATTATCATTCAACCTCGGAAAGGCAATTAGATGATCCCTTCATGTTATGCTCAGATAGTTGAGTGGCAAGAAGTATGAGCTTACAATAGCTTTTAAAAGTCAGAAATGAAGCACACACTTTTATTGTGTTCAATGTTTTCATTTGAAGGAAGCAGTGTGTCGATAAGTAACCTACAGTAAGCTTCTGTGTCAACAGGACACTGTGTCAGTGAGCTCTTCAACCAGGGAACCTACTCATTCATCTGTGGGACAAAAAGGAATTTCACATCCTTTTTAGTGCTTTGGTGTTTGCCATCTGGCAAACATGGTGGCACGAACGTCTCCCCAAGTCCCTGAACTGCTCCATAAGTACGATAAACACATACCGATAGCTGGCCATCAGACGGCTAAACGGTGGACATTTGCCTGCATAATTAACGATTGCATCTGTTTCCGATTGCACCGGGGTTCACTGGTGCTACCATTGCCCCGCAGTGATGCATTCACAAAGCCAAAGATGGTAATACAAATTATATCGGGGAAGCAATTACAAACCTAAGACATCTTGATAACAGCGTTGGAGATGAAATGGATCTGGGCCAGGAAGTGCAGCTCACACAGAAAATATTATCTAGGTCTTTAAGCAGTCTCTGTTTTACTGTATTATGCAGAGTGTTCGTTGAATTGTGTCATTGTTCTACATTTCCTTGTTGGCCATGGCTGTGTGATGTTTCAAATAAGCTTGAAAAACACCATTCCACAAATACACAAGGGAGGGAGCTGACTGATGAAGGCCAAGGGCCAACAACCATTCTGTGTGCCAGTTTGCCGGCACATGCAGGTGTGTGTGTTAGTGAATGAAGAGTATGTAAAAGCTGCAGGAATACTGCCACTCATGCTGTGCATGGTCAGAAGTGAGATGGATGGCAGGTGCAGCACCTGAGAGCGGCTTTTCTCACACACTGTCAGCTTTAGTCTCCACAGCCATCTATTTTCCCTGCCCAGGTACCCCCCCCCCCCCCCCCCCCCCCCCCCCCCCCAGGGCCTGCTAACCAAAGACATAGACACTGGTCCATGCTCCCAACTACTCAGAAGAAAGCCCTCTTCCAATCGTTGGGGATTTTCTTTTTTACAAAAGGGGAAGAGAAAAAGAGCTTGAGATAAGGCTTGCTTGCTGCTGCCACTGTCTATTAGTTAAACCTGGCTCCATGCAGCTCAATACACAGAGGTGTTTCGTCACAACAGGACATGTTATTCAGAAGTCATTACAAGATTAAAAGTAACTTGGTTTCCTCATTCATGCATGCATGCCATCCGGCACACTTCATTGATTATGCCCAGATTACATTGCATTTATAATTCTCTACAGTCAGCATCTGTGGGGTAATTATATACGGAAATAGAACATGGAAGTTGGAGTAATCAGCACTATGTTGAAAAAAAAAATCATATAGCAAATCTTTGATAAAATGTGCATGTGCAATGTTTTATGCAGCACATGTCAAAGACATTTGTAGACATAGTGCTGTGAATCCAGACTAAATGACTTACAAAACTATTAGATGGATTGCAATGTAGCAATGTCCAGGCATCATATGCACCAGGATGAATTATATTATACATAATATTAATAATCCAACATAATATATCCAATAATAATGCAAAACCAATGTCATTCCTATCAGCCTCAGATATACTTGATGTTAACATGCGAAAACGCTAAACTGGTATAGTAACATTATACCTGCTAAACAGCAGCATGTGAGCATTGTCATTGTAAGCCTGTAAGCTTGTTAGCATTACGTTTAAGGCCCTGCCGTGCTTAATGCAGCTTGGCAGCATTTATATGTCATTTTTGGTGGGGATTTATCAAACAAATTAAACTAGAATAAAAAATAAAAAAACATGTCATGACAACTTGCAAGTTGTCATAGTTACACAACTGGATTTCTGCTTAAGAAGTTTCATGGGAGCTCAGCTGTAAGAAAATATGTGACCATCAGAGCAAGTGATGGAAAGATATTTTTCAAATGGTGAACAGATCTCAACTAAATTCTGGTACATCTCAACCCTCAATGCAGACTTACAGTCAGAGATCTGAGCAGCAACAACATTGAAATGCTCTGAACTCTACAAGACCGGCGGCTTAATGGATCAGGTTTTAGCTGCTTGCAGAATTAAGACATCCATCATTGTCAGATAGAAATTCCGCTGTGGTACTGTCCAGTCCCAACATCAATTATGTGTGATGTTGCTCTTGTCTTTTCTGCACAAGGTTTAAACAACATATTCAAAGTTGGAGATGGGCAGGAAAACCCAGAAGGCAAACCCAGAAGTCTGAAAAACTGTAGCTGCTTACATTTTGCAAAGTGCAATAGTCACATTTATGAGCTGATTGAGTCATCTAAGACTACATACTGTATTGTGTGACAGTGACATTTAAATTAAAAGTCGATTTGAGATCTCTCTTTGCTAATTTAGCCACTGTAAAGTTGGTTCTGCTGTCTCGGGAACCCTCAGACTGATAACCACTGATTTGCAACCACTTTATGTTTGCCATTGTCATTCAATATTATTCACAGGACACAGACATGCTAATTTAATTTAGCCCATGCAACATTTAATGTATTAGGCTCCTTTTTGGGCTTTATTTGATGAGAGATGCTCAAAGCCAGAGTTTGAATTCCCTGGATTTCTGTTTTTCTGGGGCATTTCTGCTGCAGCTATAACAGAGAGCTAGAGGTGGTTCTTCCACAGCTCCCTCAAAGTACTTGGTGTGAACGCGCCTATAATTATATGGGTCCACTTACTGACCCCAAAACTATGGCATTCAGCTGCGTGCAATCATGACCAGAGGACTTGCAGGATTTTATTTTCCACCGCTACATGATTCCACCTTTTAGATCTCTGCTCCCTGGTTGAAGCTGGGTTAATCAGATAAATCAGATGCTGTTGTGTGCAGCTGGAAATACAGCAGTTTCTGGGGTCAGGATAGCAGAAGATTGAAACCACTATTGAAGGAGACACTGCTCAGTCATCCCTCTTGAATTGTGACCTTTAACCTATGAGGTCTTTGTCTGTTTGATCTTTTAGTGGTGTCACAAATGCCACAAGATGACATTACTTCCAAATCCATTCTTTCTGACAAAGAGACGGAAGAAAAAAGGGAGACCTTTCTATCTTGCACTCCTGTGGTTAAGGCACCGGATTGTGTTCGACTTTGTGGCTCCACAGCAGAGACTTTCATGCTGAGATCAGTGGCCACTTGAGACCTTCCTTCCAGATTACACGCTCGATGTGCAGATGTTAGTATTAAGTCGCACACAAAAAAGCATGCGTACTTAAAACTCATCACAAATCCCTTAAGAGGTCATCTTTAATATTTCAATTAGGAGTTAATGCATGTTGTTTTTGTTTCATTGTGCTGAACAGGGAGTCATAGTCAAACCCCTCTTCTCATAACAGGAGAAGTGCTAAGATTGCTCTCGCTCCTATCCTAGATAACACCTCCTCAGAGATGCCTAATGCGCTCAAGACTTTGTTTATCAGGAGTCAGAGATAAAAACACACAGCTTTGCATGCAGATGATCGCCAAAGAATTACAAGAGGATGTTGTTCTGAACTATAGAAAACTTGTATTAAGGATTCTTATCGGAGCTTTCAGTTTAATAAACAAGCCATACTTCCCGAGAAAAGCTAACCATACGGACTATTGGTATTGTTGGAGCAGAGGAGCGGGTCTTACATGCATGTAGAGAATATCTCATTAACATTTGACCTGCTGCAAGCTGCTTATGCTGGGGCAGTCCATCGGGAAAGGTGTACATGTTCAGCTGCATAATGCTTATCATTTTACAAATTAGAGGCCTAAAAAACTAATGATGCATTGGAAAAGTAAAAAAAAAAAGGTTTTATCTGAAATGCAAATAATAATTTGAAATAGATTCAATTTCAGCTTTTGACACTTTTTTTTTTAATGTTATTAATTGCTTGTCTTCATTCGGTTGTATCCCTAAGTGAAATATGAATGATATGAAATTCTGGATTTATTGTAATAACCTGGAAAGGTATTTTAATACATGAATCAAATACATTCTTTGTGAGTAAACTAAATGTTTTATCTAAAAGTTTAAATCTGTACTGGGACTGGGATCTATTTATATTTACTATTTTGTCACAAGCATGTTCCAAAAGGAATGAAAAATTAAGATCAATACAATATTCCAGATATTGTTCACATTATATGCTACTTAAACTTTGGAAAGATAAACATTAATTGCCCTGAAATCCATTGGATGTTAGTACAGGACATTTCACATTTACCACATTCTTGACCTTTTTCGTTTTTGACTTTCCACAGAGTGACAGTAAAGAAAGGTGTGACCTTTCGAACAGCGACACCTAGTAACTCTTTACTGTGGGACATCACTCTGGATATGGGCGCAGATGGAGACATCGCTGTTATTTGTCAGAGGAAGGCTCCCATACCTGGGAAAAGGCAAGTCTGTTTTTCTCACATTACTCTGTATGCCAGTGTATGATATCCATCTGTGTCTAGTTTGTTGTGGCTGGGACTTTATATATATTTATGGGCTTAGATTGCTGTCGTTAGAATGGACGAAAAACACTCCAAAGGTCCAAAGGGAATTATTCACGTACTATTGGTTGCTAGTGTCTCTAGCTGATAAAAGCTGCACCATTGTGATGAATGTCCTGCAAAGAATATCAGTATTTGTCTCAGTACTCTGTGGAGTAAAAGACAAACCATCTACGCTGTACAAGCCTGACAACAGCTCACTGCAGGAGAATACTGTGCTGCGTCCTGGGCGGACATGTCTTATACTCTCTAAGCACAGGTTGGCTACAGGTGATCCTATAAAGCTGCCGCTTGTCAACAGGTATTCCTTTCCCCCTTTATGATCCTCTCCTCCTCTGTGCTTTTATCATTTTTAAACATTTACCAGCCACATGCATCCATAGTATGCAGTAGAACATATATCTAACCTGTGATTTATAATTTAAGCAGGGAAGGTTATTATGACAAAACAGTTGTGAGTCATTTTCAAACTTGGCACCACAATTATTTACAAAACAATGCATCTAAAGGCTGGTCTGATCCTACTTATTGGGCCTTCTAGGAAGTACTTAACTTCTTGCCCTGTAACCTCATTAAAGGACACTACAGCCTTGCATGAACAAGTGGCTTATCTCAGATGTCCTTTCATTTTCAGCTACAGTAAGTGCATTTCATTGTACAGTGAGGTTAGCTGAGGCCGTTAAAGAGTTATCACATAATCCAATGCCTCCTGAGATTACAGGACTCTTTTTATTTAAAGGGAATAGGAACAAATATTTATCTAATGTCCCTTCAATCCTACTCTGTCTCGCCACAACCGAAGCTTAAAGGTGGGGTAGGTAAGTTTGAGAAACCGGCTCGAGATACACTTTTTGTTATATTCCATGGAATGCTCTTAACATCCCGATAGCAATGAATATCTTAAGTGCTTTGACAAAAAATCCATAAATAAATGTCATCTGTGGAAGCTGTAGCACTGTAAAAAGCACGACCAATCATTTTAGCTGGCCCGGCTAAAATAACTGGATTTTTGATAAGTCAGCCTTCCATCTGTGCACAAACTTATCTCGTGCCCTCATTGGTCATGTGTTCGTTCGTGTGTGTTGGAGGAGGGGCTCTGTAAGGAAGTGGCAGATTTGTTCCGGTTGTGTATTTTCAAATTCTAGCGCAATCGAGCTGGTTTCTCCAAAATTAACTACCCCACCTTTAAGGTTAACCTCTCTTGCAGTTCTCTCATATTACATAGAATAACGTTTTAAGACTAAGTCTAATCTTAAACCATGTTAGTGGCTCTGTGCAGCAGAGCTATGACACAGGAGTAAGGATACTTTGTGCTAAAAGCAAACATCAGCATGGCAACATGCTTACAACGACAATGCTAACGGTTGTTTAGCAGATACATCACGCAGGCAATTTTGCTTGTGATCATGTAATTGATGACTGAGTCACACTGATTAAGACCACAACAACATCAGTGTCACTCTAAGGCAGGGGTCTTCAACCTGCGGCTCCGGAACCGCATGCGGCTCTTTCACATCAGCGCTTTTCCCTTTCTAGCTCCTAGCTAGAGCTTTTCTGGTTCAGCTCCGGTTTCCCTTTTCAGCCCCCGCTCTGTTCACAACGCCCAGCTGCCGCTGCTGCGTCATGACGTCACCGTTTACATCGCTGATTTTCTCCCCAACGGAGCTCACAACAACAACAACGGGGGGGACTGCGTCGGGTCGATGATCGTGTTGCTTTTAATCATACGAAGCCAGATTAAATTAAATAACGACTTCTGTGCCGTGGTTCATTGTTTATTAATGTGTTTCAGCGGCATTTACCGACCGCTGCAGTGCTGGCTGCTCTTCCACGGGAGTTTATTCTCCCGTTAGCTACGGGTTAGCTCACACGGCTCTAAAGTATTCACTGTCTGACTGTCACACAAGCAGCTGATACATATCCCCAGTTCCCCTTAAGTGAATGTGTGTCAGTCTGAATTGACGCTGTTTGGCATCACAACACTGTTATGAAAGTTTCTCTGGTATAACATGGGTGATGTTAGCATAGCAACCGAAGCTAAACTGACTACTTGCCAAGCCGTTTTCTACAGGCACATTTTACCGGCGTATTTTTCATTATGATTCTACTTGTGATAGTCGGACATGACAACCTGTGCAGCCCATGTATTGATTCCATCCGATAGCTGCTATAATAACAAACAAAACGTCTGCCTGCTCTCCACAATGATCAATAACAGCAAACGGATGGTCAAAGTAAGGTACAAATAAACAGAATCACACGAAGCCTGGTTAGTGTTGCCTGACTTTATAAAGTGTGTTTTTTTTATAAGTGTGTGGTTGCCTTCTAGTCACTTTGCTCAGCGCTACTGCTTGTAGGCAGGCATGACGAGACTCTTCAGTCGACCCATGTTCAGGGGAGGTGGGTTTAGTTTCCTGCACGCCTCGACGTAAGAGAGACGTAAGCGACGCCGCCTCTAGCTCCGAAGCTCTTGCCTCTAGACCGACAATTTTTTTGGAGCTGGAAGTGAACCGCATTCCGGAGCTATGAGGCGGCGCCGCTGCGGTGTGAACAAGAAAAAACGGTACTTTTCAGGCTCCAGCTCCGAGCCGGAGCTGAAAAAGCGCCGGTGTGAAAGGGGCATTTAAGCCCTCTACTCTGGCTCCCTTGAGCTTAGACAAAAATAAGAAGGAAATAAAATAAAAGTATTTGTAGGACTATTTAAAAAATGTTGCATGGTTGAAAATGTTTCGTATCTTGTATTTTAAGGTGATACTGTGACACATAAATAAAATCAAAACGATTGTAATTAGGTCAACTAAAATATGCGTCATATCCTGCTACGGTCCCGCACCAGCGCCTTTTCTTGCAGGTGAATAGCCTGACCCCCGGCTCGATGAGCGAACTATGGATACATCAAAGAAAATAAAAGTATCAGAGGAACACAGAGGGTTAAATTCTGCGTGGACAGAGTTATCTGCTTTCACAGCAAACAAAGCTGGCGTCCCCGGTATATTTGATATGTGGAGAGGAGTTGTCAAAGGTGCTGCAGCCTTTACGTATGGGAGGAAAAACACGGAAGAGGAAGACAGCTGACGATCTTCAGTCATAATTCAATCAGTTAACTCTTTTTAGGGTGCAGCTATATGTTTTATTTATTTCAAAGTGGGTACATTTTAATTTTATTTATTTTCTTCAAATGTGCAGACGACTCCCCAAGTGCTGTGTTTAATTTATTTTAAAGCAGGCCTGTGTATTTGTTTGTATTCTCCTTATTATTAGAGGTTAACAGTTTTATATAATGTAATAAATAATAAATGCAAAATAACTGTAGTTTTTGTCTATGATATAACAATATATACAACTTTATAAGCTATCAAGCTATCAAATATATTTTGCGGCTCCAGACAAAAAACATTGTTGGAAAAGGGGGCAAAATGTCTCTTTTGGTCAAAAAGGTTGCAGACCCCTGCTCTAAGGGTAAAGCATGATAACTGCTTATTAACACCAAACATGATTTTGTTATTTGGTTAGATACCAAAGTACTGGTTAAATTCAAATCTCAACCTAAAGAAGTTGCTAGATACAAATTTGAAGGGGCCCTAATATGCTTATTGGGGTTTTGCCTTTCCTGTGGTTTGAATGTAAATGGTATGCGAAGTCTAATCACAAAGTTCCCTCACACCCCCTGCCTGAAACGCCTCCATTGGACTTCTTTCGTGTACTTTGGTAACATAATGGCATCACTATGTAACTCGTGCTTCTCTTGGCTAGTGCTCCAACACATTGTAAGAGATATTCTAAGGGACAGGACATCTCTAAGCGGTTGACCAATCAAAACAGAGCCGGCCAGTTAACCAATCAGAGCAGACTGGGCTCTGGTTTCAGACAGAGGGTGAAAAGACGTGCTGCAGCACAGGCACAACAATAAAGCATGTAATCATGGCATCATTTGTCCTCTTTTAGGGGCAACCAAAGTGATTATAATTTATCCTAAAGGAAACAAGTGTTTCCACCAAATTGCATGGCAATCCATCTACAGTAATAGTTGTGTAGACTTTTCTCTCAAAAGAACAAATCAACCTCAACCTCAGTGAAAAGTCAAAATCCTCTTCGTGGGACCATGAATAAAAACTTAAATATTTCAGTCAGGAGGTAAATTGTGGACCAACAGACAAACTGCCAGGCTGCTAGCTTGGCCAATAAGTCATTTAGTGAGCTGACAATCCAGCTGTCTATGTGCAGGAGAATACTATTTATGTTGTTTTTGTATATTGCTTTTTATTATTTTTCGTCGTACAAGCTTGCCAGTGCTCCCAGTGAGATTGAACCCAAACAGTAAGATTATTTCTGCCTGTAGAGCAACTCCAAGACATGCGTGTAAAACTAAAGCCCTAATCTGTGTGTGAATGCTGTGGCATAGCTGAAAAAGAGCAAATGTATGCAACAAACTTTCTCAGGATGAAACAAAAACTAATACAATTATACAGATAATATCACTCCTCAGTGAATTTGCTTTGCTAAAAAACAGAATTGTCTTCAGAATGGGGAGAGGGACTTTGTTAGAGGTCATACAACAATGCTTGCTTCAGAGAAAGAACAGTTTCCTTATGTCTGCTTCTTATTATTGGCTTGACCTCATTAAGTTTGTTTCCCCATTCGTGTGGATTATGCCATTGTTTATCACAACATATTTAACATATTCTTTCACTTAGTCATTTCCACTAATCCCCTCTAAAATGTCATGAAACCAACAGAAACATGCAGTGTCCACTGTCACACCACTGTGGGGATTTCTCTGACTTTTTGTCTTCCTGGCTTTAGTGAGCACTTAAAGTATTTACGGTATCTGTACATTAAAGCTTTTTAATCCACTGTCACAGCAGCTTGCTTTGGATCTTAATATTAAAGCGCTGCTACTCACAGACAGGCTGCCGGTCGTAAACAAGTTAAAGCATTATCCCCCGGCAAGCTTCACAAGAAAGATTGAGGCATAAATAGCATTTCCTACAGATATCTGTGTTAATACATACTTAAGGGGATATATGTGTGCTCATTCAAATTAAGTATATCTTGTTTTGATTCTTGACCAGAATACAATAATTATCTTTTAATCTCAGGTCTGGAATCAATATACTAAGATTATTCAATTACACTTAATCTCTGTGTTGCCCTTAATGGGGGCAGATATATGGTGCACTGAGTGAGAGGGCAGTATAGAATAGAAGAAGAATTTATAGAATAGGGAGGGATGAAACCCTCTTTAATGGTCACACATGCAGAGCACACAGCACACACAGTGAAATTTGGCCTCTGCTTTTAACCCATCCTAGTACAAGGAGTCTAGTACTAGGAGCAGTGGGCAGCTATTGTACAGCGCCCGGGGAGCAATGGGAGTGGGGGCTGAAGGGGGGTGTCCGGTGCCTTGCTCAAGGGCACCACGGCAGGGCAGGAGGTGAACTGGGACCTCTCCAAGTAGAAGTCCACACTCCATATTTAGGTCTGGTCGGGGACTTGAACCAGCGACCCTACGGCTCACAGTCCAAGCCCCTACTGACTGAGCCACTGCCGGACTAGAGAGGACTATTGTGTGCTTTGTTGTTGAGCTTGGAACATAATAAAGGATTATCAAAATATTATTTGTAGTATATCCAATTGTTGTTGCTTCAATGCAGAAACACGGCTGGGATGCAGCCCTTCAGAGGTCATTTTCATGCAGTGAACATGACTTACTGTTTGTCTGCACAGCCCTGGCACAGACATTTATAAAATGTACACACAGATGCAGTGGGTCTGATAATGTCCATGCGGGTATGTGCATTCTTATTGCATTTTTGTCCACCAATATATCTTTTCTATAGTTCATTTCAGTGCCAAGAAATAAAACCCAGCATACTAACTTGGGCCATCGGAGAAAATTGAATCCATGGCTAGGACACTCTGTTCTGGCTGCCATCACTGAGAGGCCATTATAAGTTATCAAGGCTTTTACTTTGTTGTGTATGCAGGAAGCCACTGTCCTCGGAACAACTTATATTCAGTTCACATTTAACAGTACCTGCAATTCAAGGGTAGGTCGAGCAGCACAGAGAGATTCAACTCTACTCTTTTTTGGTTTAGTTTGTGGGATTGCCTCCAGATTCAAAGCCCTCTAATAAAACAAAGATAAGGCGTTGTCGCCGCTAGTGTGATCACATCCTGCTACAAAACTCTTTTCACTTTCTTCCTACAGGACTAAATTCATAACATTATTATTAACTTTGAGTTTAATATCTCCAAGAATCCAGTCCAAATCTTCATCTGGTTACTTTATACTGAACTTTCAACAGCACCAACTGTTTCCTGAATATGTAATAATTGCAATCTGATAGGACCACTTAGTAATGACTGGATCCAGGCACAAGGGATGACATAGATCCCAGGGATGGATCAATATGTCACAGCAGCAATGGCAGCACATCATATTCCTTTACCTTTAGTGGTTTAAGCTATTCTGTGAGGACGTTTGGCTCTGCTCACACTGGGAAATAATGTGTCCATTCAGCTACTGCAATGACTCGTCTTGTGCTGAGAGCAATGAGCCACAGTGCAGGATACACTGCCGTAAAAACCACTGCACCTTTACGAAATGTAACATCATTATCTCTACAGGAATTTATTGTGTGATGAGGTAATTGCAGAGCCCAATTGTAAAATAATCTGATTAATTATCAGAGACTTTGATGGAAAGCTTCTTTCTGGTGGAATTGTGCATTCTCTTACACGTTGTAAAAACAAAAATATGGCACTCTTTACATCAAGTTATAATGAATGATAGCATAGCAAAGCTGCCGTAAAGTCAATTTTACAGCGTGTTCTTCTCCTGATTTGCGTTTCTATATAAACTTTACACAGTTGTTACACAGTTTAGAAAACCACATTTGCTGTTGTGGAATTTGAGATGAATGCATGTATGTCTAACTCATCCTGCTTCCCATTCAGGCTTGAGAGCAGTCTGCTGGAGGTGCTTCAGATGGATTTCGAGGTGGAGGAGCTGAGCAGTCCTCTTGAAAGTCAGGTGATCATCTGGAGGCTGGAACTAACATCTGCGTCCAAAAACGTAGCCAAGACTGAAGGAGCCATGAGGATCTATACAACTCAAAGAGACTTTGTTGGCCTGGCCCCTCTTGTAATGGTGAGTTAGCTGACAGCTTCCATGTCACACCAAACAAAACAAAATGGATGTTTCTGACAGCAGTGTTTCCTATAATGCCAACACTTCCTCCTTTGAGTGTTGGTGCATACAAATATCATAAAATGCACTTTGCTGTGATCCACTTGTCTTGTTTGCATTCACAAAAGACTGGATATGCTTTGGATTGTTTTGTAAATGGGTTCTATTCTGAGCCGAGTGTGACCCTGAGATGCTGACTGTCAGCTAGCTGATGTTTCTCCTCTTTGTTGTTCTGCTCTGTTCTGGCATGCAATATGGTCATCTTCTCCTCCTAACAGCTGCTTCATGTGCTTCTATTTTGGTGCTGCGGGCCTCTTTATCATGCATCCTCTATAATTAATCCATGATGATATAATCTCGACCACTAAAGACAGAACAGTATACAAGAGTTCAAGCCACTTACAACATTGAATCTGAATTGTTGCGTCACCTGGGAACTTCTTCTGCCGTTGTTTGCAGGTTTGACTCAGTCTGTCACACTCTTTTTTTCAGTTTCTTAGTTTTAATTCAACCACACTTTTTTGATGAAATAATGTGCAATTAAAAGTTACGAATCAATATGCCATTCGTTTGGGCAGAAGGGTTACTTACATTTCACAGTTCTGCATTTCCATCATAATGGTGCCATAGAGCTTGACGTTATGAGGATATGCTACAGTATCCTGATTCGTGAATTTGACATGGTTCATCCTTCTCGTGGATTAAAAGATGACCTCAGGCAGAGGGCCAAACACGAAGAGATTTGATGGCTGGCTCGAGGGGACATTAGCGCTGACTTATCACTCTGAGCCTTGCTCTGTGAACTCCATATAGTGCTGCTGCTCAATACTTCTATATAATGGTGAAAACCTCACTGACAACCTTCAGATCTGTTTTTTTTAATGATATTGTATGACAGCAAAAAAATAAATATGTTCAGTTATTTCAGCTTCACTTAAGCCAGTTTTACAGTCAAGGGACACATATCCATCTGCTTCATTTTCATACCGAGTAACCAAGTGTCTCTTTAAATCTGATTCAACTGATCATGCACAGAACTTGACTTGACTGCGCTCCACTACTCTCAAAGTAATTTACATGCACTATATTCAATTATTTCAACTTCATTTAAAACAATGTGTTTTATAGAGGACGACACATACCCATCTGCTTCATTGTCATGCTTTGATCATCCATGCATGCATGCACATGCAAGTAAAAACACAGAGAGTGAGACAGATGGGTGCTTCTCCTACAGTATTTATAATAGTGGTATTCATATCACCATTTCACATATACGCATACATGGAAGCAATTCCCTTCAAGTTGCCGGCTTTACCGCCCTAAACAACCTAGGCTCAGAGTATTGCTCAAGGACAAGTGGACCCATGGATCAAATATCTAACCCTGTGATTAGTGGACAACTGTGCTCTACCTGCCACCGCTGCCCTATTTCATAATACATTCAGCGTGAAAGAACAGGCTGTACTGTAGATGTAGAGATTATTTTTAGTTCACCGCCGCGGGTCAAGTTATTTGATCGTGTTCAAGCAGATATGTTAACGCTCTGTGGGACATGCCTCTGCAGAAAACCTGGCCATCACCAGGCCTTAACTCTGCTTCCCCCTCCCCTATGTCCCAAAGGGAGACCGGCCTTCTCACCTTATCTGGACTGATGAGTCACTTAGTCACAATTCATCACTCCGGTCTATTCTACCTTCCTCCTACAGCAGTCCACAGTGCTACTGTCCCAAAACCCTTTTGGTACTACATGAAAAGTTTACCCAAGAGCCCAACAATTGCAAACAAAAACGTTTTTTTTGTTGCAATTTCTTATTTCAATGTAACCAAGATACTAGACTAAAATGTAATGACTTTTGCTGATTACCCTGGCCTCCCTGCAGGACACAGAGATCCTGAATACAGCTGTTCTGACTGGAAAGAAGGTGGTGATGCCTGTGAGGACGGTGGCAGTGGAAGAAGACGGAGTGATAACTGACGTGTCCGACTACACAGACTGTAGCTCCACTGATGAAGATGTTCTGAAGGTAGGTTAACCTGCTAGCCTTCACATCATCATTTATAACCTTCTAACACCTTATTTTAAGTGTCTTTGGTTTCACACATTCCCAGTAAAATAATTTTATAGTAGAAGGATTTTTAAAGCTTTTCAATTTTGGGGACACAATCATAATGAAAAGGTTAGGGTTAGAAATAGCTTCTTTTTTTGTTGTTGCATTCAACCTTACGTTCGCAACTGATTTAGAAAACATTCAATTAGTACTTGTAAATGGTTACCCGAGAACGAAAATGTGTTTAGCAGCAATGAATGGAACAAAGTGAAATGTTTGTGCCTTGTCTGCCCTTGTTGAATCTACGGGGCCAGGGGGCAATTTAGAGTGGCTGTTTTAAAAAGCTTCATCCAGCCAAGACCTGATTCATGTGTGATGGGAAGGACAGACGGACAAATAAGTTCTACCAAAGTCACATCTGCTCTCTGAGTCTTTTGCACACAGTAAAACTAACTATTAGCAGGGATCCGACAGCATCGGCCATCAATCTCCTCGACAATGAACAACCGCTGAGCTCAATCGCTTTTCACAAATGACCTCGCAGTCTGCCTCTCCTCCCTTCCCATGACTTGCTACTTTTATCCTGTAAACCCTGAGCACGGCTGAATGCCAAAAGCCCGCTTTGTTTATTTTATGAAATTGAAAGTCAGGTCTCCTGCCCCTGAGGTCAGAGGCTGTGAATGTACTCAAGGGTAAAGTGGCAAGTAAACAAAGGCATGCCATCTAATACACTTTTTTTTATTTGCTGCCCAAAGCATGTCTAGCAAACAACAGATGGGTAGGTTGATAGTATAGTATTTTGTTCAGAGTGTCGCACAATAAGATTTGTAGTACAGTGTATACAGTAAGTGCACATGTTTTTTAGTGCAGATTAGTGTCAGTTATAAGAAAAGTAGGATTACATGAGGAGGTCAAAAGGCCTGGTGTGGAATAAATATTTGTTTTCAACCCTGTAATGTAGCCGTCTTTACTGTTGTTCTGAGCTTACAGTAGCTCTCAGTTTATTTGCTGACCAGAGCACGGCTTCATTCAAAATATTCCCTTTAATCTACTTAGTCTAACAGGTTGACTCCAATATCTTTTCTCTTTTGATCTCCGAGTATCAAATCTGCAAGTGACAGATGGGGTGGGATTTATCCATAATGTGTCGCTCATGTGACAAAACAATAACAAAACAAAGTCCTATCTGCTGTGATGGTATATGCATGATTGTTGGAGAGACTTGAAATGTGCTTATAGGCATTCTCTTTGTCATTTCAGTATTGAAGGATTGAGACTTTAATATATTAATCAGAGACATATTGAGCACAGTTGTCTAAGCAGTGATTAATCAGGACTTTTCATGGCTTGGCTTATTCATTTGACTAAATGATCAAGCCCGAATGATTGTCCCTTTACAATAATTCTTTCTGCAAAGATATTTACATGTTTTATTTACACAAGAAAAACTACTCTCACAGTTGTGTCGGTGCAGCATTTAATACTTTATTTATTTATCCTTGAATACTGTACCCAATGATGAAAGTAATATCATCATTTTTAGCAAATATCTATTTTGACGGAAGGATATTCGAGGCCGCAGAATCAGATTGTGACTAGAATGATCTGCAAGATTATACATAAAAATGCCATTCCTTTTAAACTGATGCTTCTGAATATTCTTTTGACATGGCTCTTGGAGGTTCAGAGAAGGATGCTTCTCTGGATGACTGGTTACACTGAATTATACACATGAGTTCACTGATCTATATCAGACCTTGTCTGTTCTGCCATGCTTGCATTAGACATTTCATATGACAACCATTCAAGGGCTCCAGAGCCACCTCTAAATCTGCTGTTTGGATATAAATCAAGCATTGGATTATTTTCAGGAAAGAGTCCAAGGCATCTCAGCTAACAGCAAGAATGACACAGTGATGTGGTCATTCGAAAGCTTATGCTCTGGTCATGGGTGCAGGATGACTGATGCTGTGACCCACTGAGGACACAGGATGTTCTCAAAAATAGCATGACCCTGTGACAGCACATCCTCTTGCAAATTGTTGAGTTCACGTAAATGAGAGTAGGAATCATTGTAATTCCTCCTTAGGCTATCTGTCAAAGTCACTGTTTCCCCCCCCTCTTTCAGTCCCTTGTACACTTTAGGGGGTTTGTGACTGAATTTTAATGTTGCGTTGATTATCCAATTTGTTTAAAGCAGTGGCCGTTGAGAGGACCAAGGAAAACCTCCTGACTCGTGTCTGACAATGTCCCTGAGAGGTTTGAGCAGTCGCCCAAACTTCCCAAGGTCACATTTGAAAACATGAATTAATGAATGTATATTGCTGTGAAGGACTGATGTTCAGCACTGCACCACATGATATTTTGATTAACATAAAATTGCAATGCTGCCTCTATAGCGCTCCGGACCGGTGATCATCGCAGTAGTTTATAACAGCCAGCTGACATTACTATGGCTACTCAGGCAGTGCAAAACTGCATCAAGGCCATTTGTTGTTGTAAGAATGGCCTATTTGTTAAAGTAGTGACTTTTATGAGAATATTTGATTATTTTTTGTCATTGGTTAGATGACTCATATCTCCTTCATTGACAACAAAGTGTGATGTAGATTGTTTACACAAGTGTGCTTACACCAAATTAAAATGATAATATATTCATGTTCTGATGGATTATCTCCCCCTATCCAGGTGTCGGACAGGTGCGACTATGTTTTCATGAATGGCAAAGAGATAAAGGGCAAGGTGAAGTTGGTGGTGAACTTTACTTACAGCTACCTGAGTGCTCAACTTGAACTGAATGTGTGGATGCCTCGACTCCCCCTCCAGATCGAGGTGTCAGACGCAGAACTGAGCCAGATCAAAAGCTGGAGGGTACCGATACTTACTTCAAAAAGGTGGGACCCACAAACAAACAATTTATTTAACATAAAAACTTCTCTTATTTGGTTTTGTAGATAGGATATATAATAGCCACCCCTAACCCATACACATCATATTTCTCCAAGGATTTAAGGTTTTGATTCCATTAGATAATGAACTGCATTATCTCAATCTGATCCAATCAGGCAAAGAGACAGGGTTGAGTGATTGGAGTTTAGCAGGTCAAAGCATTTACCATGTGACAGGTGTGACTTGTACGTGTGCTTTGCAGAAATGGTTGGAACAGTGAAGAAGACGACAGGAAAGGGAAGGGCTGCATGCTCCAGTATCAGCATGCCCTGGTGCGGGTGCTAACTCACTTCGTGGCAGAGCAGGCAGACCCTCGGGATCCTAAGGCCTATTTCCTGGGCTCGGATTGGCAGGTGGATGTCACAAGGATGGTTCAATACTTCATGAAGGTGGAGGACCCTCGAGTGGCAAGGTTGCAGTCTGGAAGGGTGCTGTCAGGACGAGACCTCGGGACAACCACCATCCAGGTAATGACCTGAAATTCGAATTGGATCAACCTTGCCACAAACATCCTGTTACCAATGTCATAGCAATAAGCAGCTAGACCCCAGGTCAGATGGAGTGTTTCATTTGCTTTACTTGCACTTGTTGAACCTGATATACTTAACTCTTCAACCTCTGATTTAGTGTATCTGATTTTCTATGACAGGTGTTTTCTCCACTATCTGATGCAATCCTGGCTAAGAAAACTATCAAAGTCGTGGATGACAAAGTGACCATTACAGAGTTGGGCGTCCAGCTGGTTTCAGGCCTCTCCATGACTTTACAGCTCAGTACTGGAAGCAATAGGGCCATCCTGGCAACCACAACCACACAGGAGGTCCTACAGAGCCCCAAACAGGTAAATGACTGAATCCATATAAATGACTAAAAGATGAAAAGTAGGATTAGAAGCACAATTACAATTTATTTTATTTTCTGTTCTCTTAGGAAGCTTTGGTCAGTGCCTGGCTGCAGTTCAGTGATGGCAACCAGACCCCTCTTGACATTTATGATCCTGCTTACTACAGAGTCATGGTGGCGTCTCTAGATCAGGGGGTGGTGTCAGTGCAGGGCACGCCTCCGACTGTGGTGGCTGAGGGTGAGGGCGAGGGAGTCCTGGTCAGAGTAGAGATGTCCATCTGTGAGTCCTGCCAGAAGATCAAACGCAAAAGCACTGTGGCCGTGGGCAACGGCAGCCTCAAGGTCAAGTTTCAAGTGAACAATCGGTGGCTAGACAGCAATACTGGTAGCACGGACAGCAGCACTATTAGCAACAAGGACAATGACAGTGACTATGGGAATGATGGAGAAGAGGTGGGAAGTGTGAGGAAGCAAAGGAAACCATTCCAAAACCCTCCACGGCGCAGTCCCACCTCAGATAGAGAGGAAAGTGTCATGCAGAAGATTACAACCACCATCAAAACTACAGAACGAACTTTCATCACCAGTGGGAGCCTCGGAGGAGTGGGAAAGACAACTAATTCAAGAAGCGCCGACATTCCTACCAGCATCGTGAGCAGCCCGGCAGATGGCAGCAAGGTGTATGGGTCAGACAATATGATAGTGGAGGATATGACCAGCTTTGCTAGCACTGTGAAGGCGCCTGGGAACCTGGTGAACTATAACTTTCCCACCAAGGTGGAGGTACCTGGTCAGGAGACATCAGAGGTAGAAATAGGTGGAGAAGAAATGTTGGCCAGTAGGCCGCTCACAGACTTGGAGATTGGCATGTACGCTCTGTTGGGTGTCTTTTGCCTGGCCATCTTGGTCTTTCTGGTTAATTGTGTCACCTATGTTGTTAAGTTCAGGCACAAGCAGCCTCCCTCGCACGGCCAGGAACCCACAGGGCACAGGCATGACTGGGTATGGCTCGGCACAGACGCTGAGCTGGTGATGAGCATGCCAGGCAGTCCAGTCCAGCAAGAAACCCAGACTACAACCACCGTTATAGACATCGGGCCTGATAAGACTGCCTCTATGTCCAGAAGGCCCAGTTGCCTAGCCTCTGTTACGGACTCGCCCATCAGCTGTGGGGGCTCCCTCAGGAGCAAACCTATGCACAGCGAGTCCATCCACTCGCCCACTAGCAAGCGAAAGAGAGTCCAGTTCACCACCTTCTCCACTTTAGAGCGCCAGCATTCGCCACGCCTCCCGCCCAAGGAGAATGGCTATGGCATCCACTGGGTTGGGAAGCAGGACAGTTATGAGGAGCAACCTCAAATGACCATTTCAAAGCCTGGAGACGATTTGTAATACAGAACCTGATCAGACCTCACATGAACAGAAGATGTGGCTTTGATCACCTCTATGCCTTTCTTAACTGTCTAGAATATGTGATTTTGGAATTGCCCTCCTCTACATTTCATTACCTATCAAGGCCTTTTACATGAACTGTATATTATTGTACATTTTGGAGTGTGGATATGTGTTAAATGGTTAACCAGATGGACTTTTAATACACAGCATTTAAAGCCACCAAATGCTTATACTGCATGTGGATTTTTTTTTCAATTGTTGCACTCACATGCTGGTATACAAAATACAAAGACACACTGAATAAGTGTTCCGAATAACAAATGCCAACTATTGATTTCCAGTTATAATACTAAACTCAACAAATTGTTTTCATATGTAATATCTAAGGCCCCTTTCTTTGTAAATATTATATGATTATTTCTCATTAAAACACCGTAATCTTAAAGGTCCCATGTCATGGCCATTTCTACTGATCATAATTCCATTGTTGAGGTATACTAGAATAGATTTACATTGTTCAATGTTCCAAAATCACATTGTTTTCTCATACAGCATCTCTGTATAGTATGTGTATTCACTCTCTGTCCTAAACGCCTTGTTGGAGCTCCTGCCCCCCCCCCCTCCCTATGAGCCCACTGTGCTCTGGTGTTGGTTTATGTGTTACAATGGCGTTTGTTAGCAACCAGAAAATGACACCAGTAAGGACAAACAGATGAGAATGCTGCGTGGGGTCTGGGTGCCGTGTTGGCGGGACGTTGCGGGGCTCGCTGCTCCGCCCTTTGAGACTCGAGGAGCCGACAGTGTGAGCTGTATTACTGGTGTCGTTTCCTGGTTGCTGCATGGGGTCTGTGAGACAGCGAGACACGGCGAAACTCAGCCTGAACTCAGCCTGAGCACACACGTGAGTGTGTGGCAAACTGTGAGTGGAGATCCACGCAGCTGTGGCTGAGAAAATATAAGGCTGAGTGTGCCGGCGAAACTCTGCAGAGTATCGCGGATTCGCGGCTGAGAAGATATAAGGCTGAGTGAGTGTGTGTGTGTGTGTGAGGAGCTCCACGGATTGGTCCATTTGGTCGTCGTTACGTCACTTGGTACCAGGAAGAAAAAAATGGAAAAAGAAAAATCTCCAACGAGGCGTTCTGGGGCAGCATAGACTGGTCTTTTCTGTGTTAAGAGTTTTACTCGCTACAGGGTGTACTTTGAGGGTTTGTGACTCTGCAGACTGTTTACATGCAAAAAAAGCTACATAACACACAAGGGGACGGGTAATAACCGGAAAAGCATGACATGGGACCCTTAACTATTTTATTTCCCTAATACAGTGCAGGACAGCTATTGATGTTTATTTATATTTTGTGTCATTCTAAATGTTACATTTGCATCAAAAATGTTGCTAAACTTTTGAGGGTTAACATTAAATGTTTTGCTAACCAGCCCATGCCCCAGCGTGTTGCCAAATCAACCTTTGTAACGACAAATTACAAGAAGCCTTTGTGCCCCTCTGCCCTTTAAACAAATTGAATTTTTGCTTGGCCCCTGGATGTCTGCAACCCAACCATTGAATGTGGTAGCAATCAGACTGGAAGAAATATAAAATACTGGAACAGTTGCAGAAAGGGTACATTAGCTGATCCACTGAGTTTGTGGAGAAATTTAAATTTTGGCGTAGGGAATGAAATAGAGGGAATGAAAATACATTTTAAAATACCCAACCATTCAAAAACAAACAGTGGAGTTGTTTGCCTCTTTTATTAAGTAGACTGATAAGAAGAGAAGCCTTATTTATATATTTATTCCAAACATAAATAACAGTACATTAGCAATTTAGGTATACATTACATATATTAACAGGACAAACAACCATGTATTGTCTGGTTCTTTGGTTCAAAGTGCTCTGCAGCATAATTTCAATTCGGCAGTACAGATAAAACAAGATTATTTTGTACAGCATCTTTGTAGCCTGATTTCCTAAAAGACAGTGAATAAAGACATCTGTGATCATTTTACCTACAGCATGTAAATGCAGCAGGGTAATGCCCAGCTCTTCCTGAGAAAGTTTACAGAGTGGGGTTGAGCGCTGTCACCTTACGCTCAGAGCAGAGTGTCCACCAGCCACCGGTAGGTTTCTCTCTCCTGATTCAGGCCGTGATGCTCTTCCACGTAAAGTTTTCCATTCCTTACCACTCTCTCTCTCAGCTCGTGATCTGATAACAGCCTGTGAGATTGATTCACAAATTCCTGGCAGGGATAAAAGCAAAACAATTCTCATTTACTGCCAAATGCAACGTAAAGCTTGCCATTGAAGTTGCTTCAAGAATTTTCTTTTAAAGAATAAAAGATTATCCAAGGCATGAGAACAGAACTCAAATAAGAGCCTGTGCTGATTAGTAAATACTTCAAAATATCTGTACATTGCCAAATAGGGGAGGTATTTGTGGCTCCAAGTCAAAAACAGTCTATCCAAATACTGTAATGCTACAGTTTAACAATAAAAACCGACCAGCTGTCACATTGACATGGTGAGGGAAAGATGAGGATATAAATGAGACAATTAAGACATGTTTAATATTGTCATATCTGAACATTGACTGAGATGTGTATTCACACATTATCCTGAATCCTAGCAGTTCATCTTTTGGCCCAGCAGAAGCCTCCAACAAAATGAATGAAAGTTCCTCAAACGTTGGCTTCCTACAACATGGCACTCAACATTTTTTGAAGCAGAAGGAGCCAATGGGCACACAACGTTTTAGCCACTGCCAGTCAGCAAGCCAATTCACTTTACTTCATTCAAGTGACGTGATTATGTCTGGAGAGGCTCTTGGTAAGGAACGTCTTCTATGTATGGCCATGAGAGCTATAAATCCTTAGCAACAGGATTAAAGCTCAACTTATGAGCAGCACGCCTAGTGTAAATTATAGAGTCAGACAGGAAGTGCCATTTTCCTCTTAAAAAGCTTTTAAGGGCTAGTGTGATTGTTCCTTTTGACACATTTCTTGATACGTACATTCATCATGTAATTACTTTTAGTCAATAACACATAGGAGGGGATTTTTAAGCAGGCAGAAAAAGTCTAGAGTGCGGTCGACTGCAAAAATATTATTTTGTTGACAGAATAGCACTCGCTGCCCATCGGCCCAGGCTGGGGTCGTGGTTTATTCAGCCCAGGTCGCAACAACCATCTGTGAGAGCTTTCTCCTGGCAGCTGAGCTGAGCACACATGACCCCCCCGGGGAGGACTTATCCCTGCCGCTACAACAACATCACGCAAGAGCATGGCGTCTTGAAAGCACCATGCTCAACTGCCTTAACCTATTCTCCTTTTGTATCAAATCTCATTCAATATTAGACTGATAAGCTCTCATTGGAGGGCCCCACTTTGCACTTTCCTGCTATGTGTTGCATCACCACAATGTGGTGTCTTTGCTCTGTCCTTGAATGCTAGACTTCTTGATCCTAATCCAAGCACCTAGGGAAACATCAGCTCCTTTTGCTATATTGTATCTGCTTAGATTGGATTAAGGATAATAAGATAAAGTAAGAAGTTTGACAAATTGATGTAAAGGTTTCCTTTTTAAAATTGAGATAGTTTAAGTTAAAGTAAGGTAAATTATTAACAGTCAACACATTTTGGTCAATTGAAGTGATAGAAGCGGACATTGGCTGCAGTGCTAATAAATAATATCCTCTCAGACTGTGGTGCATCAACACAGACAGTGTTAAAGCCTAATGGGGATTAATGCATGGATGTGGTGGTGACAGTGTATGGCTATAAATACCTGAGGAGACGAGTACAGCAGGCCAGTGAACTCATGCTGGACTACGGCTGCATTTCCTGGAATGTCCCTGGCCAACACAGGTACCCCGAGATCCATGGCCTGTTGGAGCAAACAGATTACATTCTCAAAAGTGGCTAAAATTCACAATGTCACAGAGTAAAGTCACTTATTCACAGACTCGTTTATTTTATCACTATCAATAAAAAAAGCACCTTAAGCACCTTGGAAGTTGTACAGCTCAGCCATTCTGCTCCTTAGTGCCTGAGTTCACTTCCACAATTAACAGTGTGTATCAGCCATTACCTTCAGCAGGTTGTTGAGTGAAACATACTAATCAGACGTTAAGCCAGCTGTGAATTGTCTCAATCGACTGTGTTTTAAAGAGATTAAGTGGATTTGCAGGTTTTGTTCACTCAAGATTGGAGTAAAGCAATTCATTTGGGTAATTGTCCCTGAAGTGGTCAGATAACATTGTAGCTGAGCAAGAAACAGCAGGATAAGGACTCCTGTTAATATTTACACCGTTTCATTTTGACAAGGGCTTTGGATGGCACATTTTCAGTTTTTGAAAAAATCGAATTCACTTTACCAAAATGGTATTCTACACCACAATGCATGAGCTATAAAAAGATACAATTGTGTGTACAGCATTGAAGTCAGAACATGATTTTGTGTTACGTATCAGCCCTTCAGATATTTACCTCCAAAATGGCTGCTGACATGCCCTCTGAGACGGAGCTGTTTACCACGGCGAAGCACCGTTTCATGGCAGCGTGAAGCTCCTGTTGGCTCCTCTCCTGGGCCAAGAAGACCCCTGCTGTTCTGCAGAAGCAGCGACAAAGCTCAGTTCTGCGTGACTCAGGGCTAACAGAGGCGTGAATGATGCTAAAGGGCAGTGACAAGCTCAGGGCAGGAAACACAGCTGCACTATATGTGACATGCACGGAGAGTCCAGGTGAACTCCTAACCAGAGAAGGCATCTTCCTGCCGCAGAGCTTTGTTGTGCTGAAGGCCCTTGGCGAAACACTGAAATATCAGCAAGGACTTGAGAGTGGGAGGACAGATTAAAAAAAAAAAGGATGGATCTTGGCGCTCCCCTCAGATTTTCATTCTGTTCACATTATGTCAAGATAAATGTAAGCTACATTCACTTAGATATTTTCCTGTGCCACATGGGGCATATAGAAGGATAAGTAGTCTTCAAACAGGAGTAAATTCTTGGCAAGACTGTCGGATAAATGTTCTTATATGAGCTGTGTGACTGGTAAAGAAAAGAAAAGATGGCTTACCTTTTAACAACAGCTTCCACTTCAACAGTAAATACAGGATCAATCTAAGTGAGACAGAAACACCACAGAGACAAGTAAAACCTGCTGGTTTTCATCAAGGAAGGCAGAAATGACTTAATCTGAAAGATGAAATAAACAATAACACAAATAATCATTTCTATCATGAGCAAATCATTCTCTGAAAATCCTGTATTTTCAGAGATTGGGGTCAGTTGGGATGGGTGGCCAATCTGATTAATTGCAATGTGGGATTTGTGTGCATTAGCAAGCCCGCAGAAAAGTCAAAGCATCGCAATTTAGGTCAAAGATGTTGCCAAGCAAGCTGCTACTTTTTTTTCTTTTCCATTTTATAGCTCATGGAATTTCTAAATAAAATCTGCTTTAAAGCACTTGTGCATTACAAATCAAAGAATCTGAATTTTTTTTTGAATCCCGGATAAATCTGGGATTAGGCAGTCATTGTTAATCCAGCAGGGGATAAATCACGATAACTGCTGTAGTAACGAACACAAATAATTTAGGCACAGTACTGATTCTGTGCTCTTCCATGGTAAATCAAAAGAAATCAGAAGTGAAGGAAGTGGCCAGTCAGAAGGGGAAGGCTAAGTACCTCCCTTTTTTTTCTTTTTAGCTTTTGTGCCATTTTGCCCAGTTTCTTGTTTGTGAGCAAGTATAATAAACTAAAAATAACATTATTGAAAACATTTCGAGATGTATTGTATTCAATAATAGTATAGAACATAATGTACATTGTGGGGGAAGATAAGTCCCAGCCACAGAGGAGCAGGATGTGTCATCGCTGACAAACTGACCTGGATTTTCCTCTTAATGACAGATGCTGTGCAGCCAGAGCACTTATTACTTGAATGAAGTAGCAGCGGATTTATTGTACCTCATGACCGCCGGAGCAGAGCATAGTCTCTCACTAATATCCATATTTTTAGAATTTACAGTAAATCCATTAGTAAAATTATGGTGGAAATGTTAAATAATTGAGGGAAATTCTGGCCATCCTACAAATGCATGTTTATAATAATACAAATAATAATACACTGTATGTCTTTGGATTTCTCTAACAAACAAACACACAAACAAACAAACGCTTTCAATGTGATTCAGGGGTCTCGAGATGAATCACACGTCCCCTGAACCATTTCATCAAACAACAAAGCAAAGCGCAGCAAGAAGCGGCAGTCAGACAGTGAATAAGCCCCTGGCCATGTCTAATTGAGTTGTTTTTGAACAAATCTTAAGAAGAACATACCTTTTGCCTCACAACACTGTTTGAAAGAAAGAACAGACACAAACACACTGTACACTGGTGTCATATCAAAGCAAGTCAGGGGGAGAGAAGATAAAGACAAACACAGAGAGAAATCAATGAGTGCGAAATTGGAAATGAAATGAGGGAAAAAAAGAACAGTTCTAAGAACACTCGGGCTGCTGCTGATATAACCTGACTCTAACATAAAGGTGCAATCAGTAAAAAAAAAAAAAACTGACTTTTTGGCTGACTGGTTGATTTATGAATATCATAAAGGCAGGCTTCAAAAGTTAAATAGTTATTTTGTTTCAAAAATATTTGTCATGCTTGACAAAAAATATGTCCATGTCTTCAGGAATGATAAACAGGGTGATGGTGTGTGACAGGACTGCAAACTGCTTTGGCTGTTATTTATACTAACACACCAGATATATGCCCACCCTTGTTTATTAAAATGAGGTAGGTCTTTACAAGTCCCTAGTAAAAGGTAAGAGCTAATCTGGAGTAGGCCATGCATACGACTACCAAGCAGAGAGCCAGTTTGACAGAAACATTATCAAGACCACTGATGCCGCTGACCCTCGCCCTGTTTGCATAAGATTGCCTTTTTCCTCCTAGGGCTGCCAGTTAATTCCAGCTAAACAGCTAAAGCCAGTATCTCCGCTACATCCAATTAGAGGCCGCTAGAATTCCCAGGGACGGTTTCTATGTAGATACAACTGAACAGAGAGTCACGCTACAAAGGGAGACACGCAGCAAGTGTTAATGATTGTGTACTTACCTTTGGCCCAATAATGAACAGAACATTCAGTGGATTCTCATAATGCCACTCTGAAATATACAAAATGAAAGTGGTCATGGAAACAAAAACACAACACAAAAATGTAACAGCAGCAGATCATCTGTAAATTACTTACAGCTATTGTTGCTTGGGGAAAGGTATAGTATGTTCACATGTTTAGGCATGTGGGTAGCACAAGTTAGTGCCAAGAAATGCCATGTGAAAATACATAAATGTTGTTCTATTATCTCAAAGAATCCCTGTAGTGCTTTACCATAACTGTGTGCAACATAATGAAAGTCATATACATTACAAGGAGGAACCTGATGTTGCTAATTAATTATCACGGTTGAACATATGAACATATATAGTCCGTATAGAAAGAAACAGTGTAAAGGCAAGACCCAACAAGATAACAAGGGAAAATGACTTTGTCGGCCCAACATGATCTAAGGAGGATCTCAATGCATGTTCACATACATGTTTTAATTAGCTGAAACTCAACTGCCGAGATCTAACTTCATTTCTTATTGATGAAGACATATATAATGCATCTACCACAGGTTACAACAGACAGACAGTCAGAAAGGCTTTGCATCTGGGTTCACAGGACATTAAAGAGAAGTGAGGCACCTTTAGATGTACAAAAGAAGTGTTCATGGTAAATGTAGTCAGTTTGTCATTATAGCAAGAACTGAGGAATGTATTCCTTAACTCACCTACATTCACCATCAAAACTGATTGAAAGTACACAGAAAAGGTGGACAATTTTTCCCTTTAAGGTTGAGCAAGCTCAGTCTTTAGCTGGGCTAATTGCCAAGTTACTCAACTATGATGTTGATAACGTTGTTTTATGTTTTTCAATACCAGTTTATTGTATAATAGATGGTAAACAGAATAAAATGTATGGTATACCTCGAAAAACCTCCACCAGATAAAGGGGGTCCTTGACTCGTCTGAGTCCACAGACCAAGAGGAAGACACGCAGCTCATCCACGTGCTCTATGCTCGCATCTGGAGAGGAGAGGAGAGAGCACCAAAATATCAAAACACTGCATAATGAACATCCCGAGTACATCGACAGATAATGAAAGCAATACATCACCCAAGGTCATGAGGAAAATAAGACAGCAGTGACTAATGTGCTTGCACAATTCTCTGATCAGAGTTGTAACACACGGCAGGGAAATAGACTGCTGAAAGCATGGGAAGGTTGAAGCCTAATCAGTGTGTAATGTGGCATCATAACTACAGAGCACAGTGTTCGGGTGACAATTTGCTCACTGAACAACGATAGATTAAAATGAGCTAACCCAACATCACATAACAAGATCAAACGTTTTCAGAACCTTGCTTTTAAAGGGAGGCAGGGCCACTAAATCTGCTCTTTTCCCAGATCATCCAACTTTCAGGATCAATCCAAAGATTAGTCAGAAGCTGGTCGGCATTCAACTGTGAGCCCTGCCAACAAGCACTTTCCTGCACCTGACCTTCCAAAAGCAACAGACAAAAGTCATGCCCCGTACAACACTGGATTACCATGATGGCAACACTTGAATTACCTTTACTACATTCTTAATCCCTGACCGCTAATGATCGACAACGACCAAAAAAGTGAAATCCTTAATGTTGAGATAGTGCTGCTAGCAGTGTCTGTTACAAACTTATAAACAAACCATGTGGAAATAAAACCGCAGACAGACACAAGCAGGTGCTGGAAGCACAGTGAGAGTGGAGTGAAGTCCCCTGATGCCAGATAAATCCAGATCAGGAGGCTGAAGCAGCTCTTTAATGCTATTAAAGAGGATCTTAAAATGACAGCGTGGTGTCTGGGCATTGACCCTAATTCAAAAACCAATTGTCAAAAAAGCTCTTTATCTGAGGGATGTATTGAACTTACAAAGATGTATTAGATGAGAAAGCATGTCAGCCGAGGGTAACAAACATGTCACTTTCTCAGAAAATAATTGAGGATAGCTGGAATCATACAAGAGCACAGATGTGTCAAAGTGAGTAAAACATTCTAAGAAATATTATGATAAAACAAAATCCCCTTTGAATCTAAGGCACAATTCATCTTTCCTTGGGGGAGTAAAACAAAATTGTACAAATCATCTCTTTTCTCTCTCGCTCTTTGCAGTTCTGTCTGTTCTATGCAAAACACATTTTTGTTCATTTGCCTTTGATTTCAGAAGGGCATTCTGAACAGTCCCCTAATGCTTTAATCAGTATGTTTGTAAATGTGTGTGTGGGGGGGGGGGGGTGACCAAACACACACACAAAACACACACACACACACACACACACACACACACACACACACACACACACACACACACACACACACACACACACACACACACACACACACACACACACACACACACACACACACACACACACACACACACCACACACACACACACACACACACACACACACACACACACACACACACACACACACACACACCACACACACCACACACACACACACACACACACACACACACACACACACACACACACACACACACACACACACACACACCTGAGAAAATTGGATATATTGTACCAGCAAATCTACACTTGTAAGACATATTAAGCTAATGCTGATGTTTGGATAATCAACAGCTCTGAAAATAACATGTGTCCGAGCTTTGGCTAGTTCCCTTCTCTTAGGAAATATGTCTAGTCGGAAAAAAAACTGTCATTTTTTTTCTAGCATGTGATAAAGATGTGTTAGTGATGTATTTTTAATGTCTACACATTCAACGAAAACTCATCATAGCAATATAATGAACAAGGAGCATGAAGCCATTTTCAAGCATAACGTGTCCCCTATGGCACAAACAGTGTTCTCTGATCATGGTCCCACACTATAAGATGACAGTAAGCATTAAACCTGACATCTAACCTTCCTTCATCTCTTGATTCTTCATTAAATTATACCAATTCATGCACACACTTGAGGGAAAGCTTCTTATGTAACTCATGTGATATTCATGCTATCCCTTGAGGATCAGGTAGCTGGACAAGATGACAACAACAGAGCCTCTGCATGTTTACTCTCATCCTTCAGGGATTCAAAGCGTTGCTGTTCCTCATGTATGCCCCTACCTCAAAAAGGCACGCAGCAGGGGCCGTACACCGAGTGGCTGAAGTACGTGTGCCTTTGGAAAGTATTCGAAACCAAAAGGATAACACATACAGTATAGTCACATATCTTCAGTTAGATTTTCTGTTCACAGACGGAGGTATTTTAGAGTGTGCCTCCAGGCCACACAAAATATGTTTATTCCAAACATTCTAACCTCCACACACACTTTAATTAAACAAGCCTACTTTCAATATACTACATTTTGTCTTTAGTAATGATTGATTTACCAGAATACAAGTTGCCGCAAAAGTCAATTATTTCGGGCAACGCCGTTATGTTTGAGCAAAACTAAAACATGATGACACTAATTATTTTAGTGGACGGAGCAGGTAATGAAAGTTCAAAAGGAGAACATGGAATATCTCATCTATTAGACAGCAGAAAAAAAACTTTTTAGTTTTATGAGGAAAACGTTTTTTTTTCACTGACAAATAACACAGATAATTTAACACAGTCAGACAGCACATATGCAGTCAATTAAACAATGTTTTCAGCTCCAAAAGGAACCCCGAGTTGGATAACAGTGCTTTAACACATCACTGAGGAAAAGCACAATAGTAGTGACTCCTATTTCAACTGGAACAAATGGAAAAGTGACTCAGGGCAATTAGTATTTCTTACAGCGTTTGTGAATTGTTGTGACAAATGGCCCCAGGCCAGAAAGCTATTAATCAATTGTTCCTCTCTGTACCCAACTGTGCTCTCTATGAGCACTAATGTACCTTGGATGGACATAATTTTGCAATGTCCAATTTAAAGTCTGGGCTGCTTGCGAAGAGGATGCTCGGAGTAACAGTGCATATTAACTGAGCTATTCAAAAGGGAGAAGTAATTCAGCTACAAACTCTGGCCTCTCGGACAATCAGACACATTGAATATAGCTCAGAGTACATTTATGCTCTTTGATTGGTACTTTTAGGATGGGATGTATGATTGCTTTCCCCATTGTGCTCTCAGTGTTGGCTGCCCCGCTCTGCCCTGCACTACACAGTCTATGTCCAATTGTGGAGGTGAGAAGCATACAGTCTAGAATATAGCAGAGGGCTATTATGTACAATACTGCAAATGGTTTAAAATATGTGACACACCTTGGTATAGCTGGTCAAAACGACACCGATAAAACTTATTTTACAAGGGATCTTAACTTTTAGTGTGCATGTACCTTTTCATCGTATTGCATTGACGTTTTATCCAGCACCTGTCCTAGTAATAAGGTTGTGTAGATGTGCCAACAACTATTCCTGCTAAAGTTTGAGACGTAGCCTTAATGATAAGACGAGAAACGACTTTCAGCTATCCAAAGCATGACACATACTTATCACGGTGATTTCCAGATGAATGATTCTGCCCTGCTTTGTAAGTGTTTTTTCATCCTTAAGTCCTGTACTCTTGATGACCCTTAGATTATTTCCTAAATTCCTACTAAAGGCAAAAACACTAAATAGTAAACAAACAAAACAAATGTCCTGAGTAAGGCCTGCTGATTATCAAGTCAAACATTAGGCAATAGGGGAAAAAACAACCAACATAAGTAGTAACATTACCTGAGCTCCTCAAGAATTCACTCCAGCAGAATGTCTCACTCACTTCAGTCTGGATACCTTTACAAATAAAGATAAATGAAAAGCAGTTTTGTCAGAACTTTTACCGAACAACAATGTAATAACCATTATGTAGAATCATATCAACAGGTTCTTTGTTGTTGTATAGATAAATAACCTTAGCGACCCTAACCCTTAAATAAAGGGTTTGTATACACCCAAAAGTAGAAATATCAATCACATCCAATGTTATTGATAACCTTAGATAGATAAATAAGTACTTTATTGATCCTATTTGGGACATTTTTGAATTGATATTGGACATACAGTGTTTGTATGACTTATTTATACATCTTGATTCTATGTAAAATAAACAAAATCAACATACTTAAAAACCTTTTTATGAGGTTTGTGTCAAAAGTGTTTCAGTGTGATCACTATCTGGGGAAAAGCATTAAAATTAGCTTCCACTGGTCAGAGCTCAGCCATGCAGCTGGCACAGGGCTCTGTTCTAATCTATGTAGGGACTATTTGCCAAAGAAGGCTGCTGGTGGGAAACAACATGGAAGAGTGATTTGGGCTGTCCTCCATGGTGAGGTGGCCAATGGCAAGAGCAAATACAACTCTGTACTGCAGACAGCATGATAATGGAGGGAAAACATGTCAAAGCTGATTAATGCAACACTTCAATGGCGAAAAAGGGATTCACAGAATGAAGCGAGGATATTCATCCGGCAGAGCTTACCTTGGGGCTGCACATAGATTCTACTGCTCTGGGACAGCTTCAGAGAAAGATAACAGACGAAAACAATTCTGATGAAAACAAATTCAAAACAAAAATACACAAGTGTTTTGAATCAATCAATTCTTAGTGTTTGTTTATATAAATGACATTTGATTATTGCTAAATGTGCTTCTTTCTCTTGTTGTCAGACAATAGAAGCCAATTAAAGCTGTTTGTGCTCCAAACACATTTAATCAAAAATCCAAACTTTAAAAGAGAGTCAGGAAAGCAGTTGGTAAAGATAATGGGGGTGGTAGTAAATAAATCACAGGGGATGAAGGGGATATTGACTGGATGTTATCACGGTAGATTCATCCCCTGTGTGTTTTCTGTCACAATAAAAGCATGGCGATGCCTCTCAGTGCCTGTCCTGTCTGCCTGCTGTCAGCACTAAATGGCAGAGATAAAGCATGCCACTCGCCTCAATCCACAGCCTAAGGCTAGAATCTAATCCTAAAATAAAACATGATAATATCATACCAAATATAATTCTGCTTCTTCTTTCAATTTGTCAGTGAATGCAACAGCAAACCTGTCAGACAAAAGAAACGTCATTATCACCCCTTTGAAAGTAATTTAAGTAAAACAAGAATGTAATTGGCGGCAGTACGTTTTAGAAGTTTTCAAGCAGTGACAATTTTCACAATAAAAGAGGAAAAAGCAGTGGGAACAGAAGTTACACACACTTCTCTATGCTAAGGCTGAACACGTGAGAGCAGAACGAGTGCTTGTGGTTTGAAGGCAAATGATTCAAGAATACAGAGGGAAAAAGTACAGTGGCGAATTTGCCTATGTGAGCATGCACAAGTTAATTGGCCAAAAGGCTCAGATATCTTGATCAAGGCTGTGTGAGAAGGCACTAGCAGCAGGAGGTGCGTGGATTTAGATGTTTGAAGTCACAAGACCTGGATATCCCCAGTTCTCCCAGAAGGCAATTATCCCTTTAGATTTACTCAATGCCAACTAGTTTTATCAAAATGATAACCGAGCCACCAGGGTTCTGATGTTAGGGCACAGAACAGGATATGGATAAGCTTGTGTACACATGAACTTTTTACATTGTTTAACTATGGGAGGAGTGATCACACTAACTGCACAGATGTATTTGGCCTTTATATGTTCCTAATACTTTCATACCAGTTCTTTGTTTGATGTCCAGTCTTTTTACCCAAACACATATTTGATACTCTTGTCCATATGATTTTTATAGCTTGAAAAATAAAATTGGTGATCATAATTGCTTCAGTTAGGATTTTTTTGGAGCTGAGCACTGAATACTTAAAGCATTACTGGTCAATAACACTACATATGTTTCACTTGTACATATATAGTGATTAATGGCAATACATCACAACTGTGGCAACAACTTTACTTTGAGCCTGTGAAGCTGTAATTTTTTCCAAGACTTAAAAAGCACATGATTAATACAATTTGAGATTAGAGAGTTATCTTCAGAGATATCTTGATTGACAGGAACAATTTCAGTTAAGTGTAAATGATAGAATTTACTTCCTGGTTGCACTTCAAGATGGTGACATCTGCATTAAAACCTCTGTAAAAGGAAGTAAGCGACATATTGTGTGAGACATTACTGGCAAATTTGGATATCAGAAATGTTAACATTTATATCACACTCTTAACGGATAACTCGTCATATAAAAAGTCCCATTGCATGTTATTAGTTGCACGTGTGCTTTTCCTGCAATAAAATGTTTAAAAGTCTGCCATATAGTATGGCAAGTCGATTTAGCTTTTATTCATTTCTGGAGTATATAAAAAAATCAATTATTACTAGTAAGAATGCGAATTCTTGATATCAAAAATGCATTCTTACTAGTAATAATGTTTATTTCTGATATCAAAAATTGAATTTTAACTAGTTAGCATGCAAATTCTTGATATCAGAAATTCAATTGTAACTAGTTGTAATGTGTATTCTTGATATCAGAAATGCGATTTTAACTTGTGAGATTTGCATCGTTTTTCTCATTCATTTCAATGGGAGTTGGAATTTGAACTAGTTCAAATGCCAATTTCTGATATCAGTAATTCAATTGTTACTAGTTACAATTACATTTGAACTAGTAAAAATACCAATTTCTGATATCAAGAATTCAATTTCAACTAGTCGAAATGCCAATTGTTGATATCAGGAATTCAATTGTAATTAGTTATAAATACACATTTAATTATAACTAGTAATAATTTAATTCCTGATATCAAAAAAGGATTTTTGAACTAGTTCAAATTGTATTTCTGATATCAACAATTGAATTACTGATATCAGAAATTTGAATTTGTACTAGTTCAAGTTTAATTGTAACTAGTACCAATTGAATTACTGATTCAAATTGCAACTCCCATTGAAATGAATGAGAAAAACGATGTAAATCTCACTAGTTAAAATCGCATTTCTGATATCAAGAATACACATTACAACTAGGTCAAATTCAATTTTTGATATCAGAAATAAACATTATTACTAGTAGGAATTGAATTTTTGATATCAAGAATTTGCATTCTTACAAGTAAGAATTGATTTTTTTTTTTTATATCCTCCAGAAATGAATAAAAGCTAAATCGACTTGCCATAATATGGACCCTATATTACACATTTAAAATTCAGAAGCAAAACAAATTGTGACTGCTGTTCTCCACGGATATCAACAGAGAAAGACCTTTTATGGGTTAAAATAGTTTGCATCAACATCACCTGGCTTTCTGTAGCACCTGCTCCATAACCACACGCTTCTGCTCAACTTTCACATCTTCATTTATATCTGTTCCGCCAAAGATAACACCAAAGGGTACTTGGATGTCTGGTGTAAAGGTTAGACATAAAACAGAAAGGTCCTGACATTTATAGGACAGGTAACAGTGTACTTGTATGTCTTATATTATTTTTTTGACAAAAACACATGACTTAAAGGTATGTGGATAAGTGAATAGATCATGACAGCAAGGATGTTTACCTAAGAGAAGTCTGCCTGCTTTGAATAGATGGATGGCCAGTGCACCCTCAAATGTAGGATTACTAGATATCAGGTTTGCCACCTCAGCAGGAGACTGAAACTCTGCTGCATCTCTGAGCTCACAGGTGTGTCCAGCTGATTCAATGTGGGACCTAAAACAAAATAAACATGACTATGGATAAATAAAGTTTCAAACATCAAAGCTTCATTGGAAAAGCCTTGTTTTAATCCTCAAATGTTGTGTTGTGTCCTTGTTGTTGTCTACAACTATCCTTCTAAAGCTGCATATTACTGAATCAGGTTATAGCTGATATACTAAAGCCAAAGTGCACTAAGGTAGGTAGTTAAATGATTATGTTACAGATGATTTTTAAAATAAATTGTACAGTCAAGTAGACCGTTTCATTATGACATAGCCTTGGCTTACAGTGAACTACATTGCTATTGCCTAATGCAGCTTCAACAGGTAAGTACTAATTAGCTGTTGTAGCTAGCTTAGCAACAACGTAAATTACCTTATTCTCTCAGCTGTAGTGTGGTTTCCAGTTTTAGGACTGAGGCAAGCAAGAAAGAGTAATTTCATATCTTCACTAATGGCCGGTATGACGAGCTAACTAGTTAACATGTAAACATTAGTGAAAAACAGGTTGAAAAATGCAGCAAGCAGAGCCTCTAGGTGCTGGTTCAGTAGGCTCGCTAGCTGAACTCGTATCACATTTCCTGAACCCATGCCTGCAAGTTACACGTAGAGGAAAGCTAGCACTTTAAGGCTAGCCCAATTGACAGTACACCCCACACGCCCATGGATGTATAATAAGAACGCCCCACACTTGAAATGTTTACAAGTCCGTCTCCTATATGTTCCCCTGGAAACACATGACGGTAGCACATACTGTACACTAGTATATAGCACTGTTGCCCCATATCAGTATTTAGTTTCGAGACGAATATTTAGGACTAAGTAAAAATAAAACGACAGGCAGCTTCCTGTCTGCTGACAGGTTTGTCATAGACAGTATCAGCGATAATAAAACATGAAGAAAAAATAAAACAACCGCATCACCACTTCCTTGTATCGATGTACGCGCCTGCGTACAAGGAACAAATTTACAAATCACATGGATGGGCTGCTGCCGCATTACTTTGCTGGGCATGCCGGGTAAATTTCACTTATAGATCGTCTCCAGGGCTATGCAAGTGTGACCGTTTGTTGACTGCGAGCATATGTCACGCGATAGTACTGTGACACTGTTTTTTGTTGACTTCCAGTTCTCCTTTGACAAAGTAATGATTTAAGACGGGTCACAGTAAATGTTTGAGCGGTACATATTATATAGGTTCATGGAGATCATTGAATACAACTGGGACGTTTCAGTCATATTAACGGTAAGGTAAACACAAACTTATTAAGCTTTCGTTTAGCTAAAGCTAGCATACTTTAGGTTTGTATTAGTTGCCTGTATACATACTGTATTATAAGGAAGGGGTTATTTGACAAATCAGATGTGAATTCTGTATAGTTAGCTGTTTTCTCTGTGTTCACACTGTTGACAACGTTTGTCTTACGTGTTTGACATCCTCTGTATTTTCTTTACAGATTTGAACTCTCTCTAATTAAGAAGAATTGAGTTAGTCAAGAATGTCTAACAAAAGGGATGCCAATGAGAGCACCCCTCTGTTGGACTCTGGGAACATACCTTCACCACAACCATCAGTTTTCGAGGGAAGAAGACTAGCATGTGCAGCCATCCTGCTAGCTGAATCATTAGAAAGGATTGCTTTCTATGGCATCACATCCAATCTAGTCCTTTTTCTCAATGGTAGTCCCTTTTATTGGCAGGGCACCCAGGCGAGCCAGACACCTCTGTTGTTCATGGGAGTAACTTACCTGATTTCACCATTTGGAGGGTGGTTGGCGGATGCATACCTTGGGAAATTCTGGACAATTGCTTCAAGTTTGATCCTATATTTTCTTGGCATGCTATTTTTCCCTTTCATCTCAAATGAAGATACCAGGACACAGCTATGTGGAGACGAAGGGGCATTTCCTGTGCAACCTGCTGAATGTATGAGCACAAACAGTACCCTTTCAAGCAATGTAACCTGCCCCATCCGTGCCCCATATTGTGGCCCGGTGATCTACAGTGGCCTTTTTTTAATTGCATTAGGAGTGGGTACCGTGAAGTCCAACATCACTCCATTTGGGGCAGATCAGGTAAAGTATGAGCCATATTACTTCCAAGTCTGTCTTAATAAATAAGGAGTGTTAAAAGTAGACATGGAGATTTTTGTTCAGACATACATAGGCCTGTATAAGATTAGGTATTCAGTGTGACATCATTGAGGTCAAACATGTGATTTCCTTTGCACCATGACAGTTCACTTAGACATGCATCTTCCTTTTTGAATAATCGTTTATTGCCATCAGGAAGTGAAAAAGAACGCTGTTTGGTTAGTTTGAAAATGTCAGCACAAGAAGCTGTCATATAATATGGAAAAGTTCATCAATGGGGTGATTGTTTTCAAAAATAATCTAACTATGAGAAGTTAAAACCTCTCCCAGTGAACCGGCAGGGTGAATATGATTAGTTCCTGATCCCACTACGCTCATTACAAGTTCCTCACGTCTCTGTCAATGCTCCTTTTGATCATGTTCAAACAGACACAACGGGGCACACTATCAAGCAAAGTCCATACATTGAGGGACACAAATAAACACAGAGACGGGTACGCCCGCACACGACAGAAAACACAACAGCAAAATATAGAATAAATATTCTACATTTCAGACAGTTTCGAGCAAAACAAAATTATAGAAACTGACAAAATGTGACTTGTTTTTAAGTAGAGCAATATGATCTGTGTCACTTAGAGGTACAATTTCCCTTCATATTTTCCTCCAGCTCGAAGTCTAATTGATGAATAGTTAATACGTGAAATTTGCTTCGTTTTAGTATTATTGCACCCTCTTTCTATGTGGACATTGCCTTACTTGTTTCGACAGTGATTTAAAAAAAAGAATATACAACTTCTCAGTAATCATAAAGTTAGAGGATTACTGTAGCTGCTGTCGTTCTGTGCAGGCAGCGGATGATGGATAGAGTTTGAAACTGGGACATCGAATAAAAGCAGGACACTGTGTGGCAGCTTTTTTTGGTCTTTTTATGAGTCACTGCAGATGCAATGTCTACCAGCATATGATCATTGTAATATTTATACTTGATCATATTCTGTATTTGATGGATGGTCAACACTGAAACAAGAAAGTAAATTAGATGTTTGTCTTGTCCTGACGTGGCTAAATGCTGGAGGGAACACAACCACTTACTCTGATTGATCTTGTGTCAAAACTAAATGTAGGAGCTATTAAAGTACGCTTCTCTATGTATGCATTATTTTTAGACTTTATTATAATGCAATTTTAGATGATACCCGGCAATTAGATGGTCTGAATCAGATAAGAAATAAACAAAAAAAGTTGCAGTTTATTATAAGTTATAAAAAATACTTCCACTCTTTTTACCTTATTCTTCTACCAATGTTATATTGCTATTAGAATATGCCACCCGGCGACAGAGCTGCTCAACGTGTATCATTATCACTATAAAAAAGTAATTTTGTGACCTCTCATCCCCTTGTCTGTCTCAGCTTGGTCCTCATCATCGGAGCAGTTTTTTCTCTTCATTTATTGTCAGGATTTAAAAAACTGGACTTTTAAAAACAGCTTGTTGCTTTGCCCATTGCAATTGCCTTTCACATGCACACAATTTGATCTCTCTAGAGTTAACTTCCTTATGTGACTTTCAAAACTTGCATATCAAAGTGCTGATGAACACAGTTCCTTGATAGCTGACCTTTGCTGCTAGTTTACCATTGATCTGATTTGACACTCAGCTGTAAAGATCTTTAGTGTTCAAGATCTTTTCTATGAGACACATGTTTTGTTTATTTCTCCCTGTATGTGTGACCAACTTACAATGACATCATTTGTTGCTCTGTATGTGATCTTAGGTCAAAGACAGAGGACCCGAGGCCACGCGCCGATTCTTCAACTGGTTCTACTGGTGCATCAATTTGGGAGCTATCCTGTCTCTGGGAGGTGTGGCCTACATCCAGCAAAACTACAGTTTTTGGGTTGGCTACATCATTCCCACCGTGTGCCTCGGGATATCCTTCATTGTCTTCCTCCTGGGCCGTACTGTCTTCATCACCAAGCCCGCTGATGGCAGCGCCTTCACAGACATGTTCAGGATCCTGGGCTCTGCATGCTGCTCCAAGAAACCAAAGGAGCCAAACCTTCTCCGGTGAGAGCGACATTTCATCTCTGTGTTGGTTATTTTACAGCATTGTATGTAATAATGGGAAAAAGATGACGACGATATGATAACAAATGTTAGAAAAATATCACTCGTCACCGGCTTGAGCTTCAATATCAGGATACATGTATTTATTATCCTTGCAAGAATGGAAGTAGTCACCACATACAGAGCATATGGTACAACTAGTTCCCGAACAGTGTCCTTCACATGCTTATATACAAGAGAGGGTGTATCACAGTCACAAGATGCAGAATACCGGTTCAAAGCAGTATACAATGTTTAGTTTTAGATTAACTAAGACCCACGTCAGAAATGATCATGCTTGTCACATGTCTATCTCCATAGAGGCTGAATCATCATGTTAATCGTTGTCACATAGCTATCATATGCCTAACAGTGTGTCCTGACATTCTTCCAGGTAATCATACTTCCTGTCATGTACGCAGTTACAGTTGGGCCTTTGTTATCATGTGCTACTCTGATATTGAAAGAGTACATTGAGTATTTTCCAAACAATAAAGTAATAAAGTAATTCCCTGAATGACAAACGGCACACTCACATTATATGTGAAATAGCAAAGCATTTATCCATCCCAGTAGGAAGGCTCTTTCCAACAGAGTAGCAAGTATTTTTGGTCATGGCACATGTTGACTCCAGTGGATAGCACAGGTATACCTCTATGTTACAAACCTCCTTTGATCCCCCCTATAATTATTTTCTACCCACCGGTCCAGGCATTTATCTTCATTCCCTGTGGCGCAAAGTTATTCTGAAGTGCTGTTACTTGACTTTGAACCAAAGTAGCACAATTGGTTCAAAAACATGACATTGAATATTTTAAGTTTTCCAATCCCACAGCCTTTCAACATTTTCTCCAGAGATGTGGATTATAGGCTTTAAAAAAAAAAAAAATCCTTTTCTATAGAAGTGCATTAATGTAAGGGTGTTCTCAAAAGGGCTGATTAAGTCTCAAACTTCAAGAGTTGAGAGTCATTTATCTGTGTTCTATATGTATGTGTTTATTTTATGCTATCAATAACAATGTGGTTTAAGATAATATTTCAAAGGTATTCTTTTTTTCTTCTCCCCATGAAGCAACAAGCCAACACTGCTCGACAGTGCCAAAGTTTCCTATGGAGGAAAATATCCAGAAGAGAAAGTAGAAGAAGTGAAATCCCTGGTGAAAGTTCTCCCAGTTTTCTTTGCTCTTATCCCATACTGGACTGTGTACTTCCAGGTAAGGTCACCCAATTTTAAATTAAATACAAAATATACGAGCCATGTTTCCCACAAGATGAAAAACATGAAGGAATTAAACATGAGTATTTAAGATTTCTGGAAGCGCTTGTGTTAACGCGAGGGATGATTATTTCCTGCTTCAATGTTGGAGAAGAGTGTTTTTGCACCAGACACCCTGGTGATCATGAGGTGGAGAATTACCTCACGCTGAGACTCTAATCTTCTTATTGTGTTGCAGATGCAGACAACGTACATCCTGCAGGGCCTCCATCTGAGGATTCCTGGTAGTACGTCAGATGTCACCCCTGGCTCCAAGGTAACCGAAAAGTAGAGACACTCTTAGTCCAAGCACCTGTTTCTTGTTTAAAAAAAGAATATCAGCAATGGGGTCACATATTTAGCAACTTCTGTATAATTCTATTTAGAAAACATATCAGCTTGGAGTTTAACCTGCATCCACATAATCAGGTTTGAACTAGATTTGTTTTCACGGCTGAAACTAAAGCAGTCTGTAGGCCACTGACACACATTTGTAGGCAACAGCTGGAGGCAGAAGCAAAGGTTGGTAATGCCTTGGGGATTAAGTCAGAACTTCACTTCACAGACTAATACCTCGCAGATTAGCAACCTGGCGGTGACTGTACCTCTCCGCAGTAGCACCTCCATCTGATCCTTCCTGACTAGTGTTGCTGCTGTACGCGCGTCTCTCTCTCTGACAGAATGTATGTTATGTTTTGGAGGGCTTTGATGACTGAATCTCCTCCAGTTGCTCCACATGATATACTGTAGGACTCCTCAAAAATCAAAGGTTTTAATGTGATGAAATCGGAAAAATACGAGGAAGTGTAGTACGTCGGTTCTTCTTTATGAGCAGGCATGCTTGAGGTGAGGTGAAATGCAGTGATTTCATGGAAATGTAAAGTGAAACACTGGCCTGTTAACCACGCAATCTACCCTACTGCTACATTCATGTGATCTTACATTTGTCCTTTTAAGGCACAGAAACGTGTAGCATTGATACTTTCGACATAGTTTTGTTCACTCATATACTTGTGTGTTTAACTGTGTTAAATATCCATAGTGGCACCCTTCCCCCCTCCACATACTGTTTACCTAGTATCTAAAACAGAACTGAGCCTTTTCAGCTACCAGTCTTGACACTTCTCAACATAAAAGGGAAGTGAGATTAGTTTCCTCTCTGATGTGATCCCCCTACCTTGCCCGACACATTTCTGTAGCAAATCTTAGCAAATAATGCCTCTTCAAAGAATGAGAGCCCACACTTATACTTATATATTTCTATGGGAGGCAGACAGGCATGAACTTTACTTTTACAACAGTAACTATTTGAACTATGTTGTGTAAGGGATTCATACTTTAAATAAATATTCAAAACTACCTTTTCAAATATATTTATAGTACCCTAGGATACATATAAAAGGTGGTTACCTTTTTATATGTATGTAAATGTCTTTTTCGTTCTTTATTGCTCATATTTCCCAACTTGTGTATCATTTATTGAGTCCTAAACCGGGGAACCATGATCTAGAGTACATCCTGTATGCACAAAGTATTCAGTCTATTTGTGGAAGTATAAAAAGCAGAACACCATCATCAGTTTCATCCTTCACGCCATGCTTTCCTTGGTAAAAGTCTCCCTTGGCTCTTTCTATCATTGCGAATATGATAATGCACAAACAAGGAATGAAAACCCTCTAAGGAGCTTTGTATAGATGGCCAGTGGTTACTCGCAGAAATAGAAATTCAATCTAAGAATAAATTATGCTATTCAACCAGAGACGCATCAGGAGCTCAGATGGCACTTGGAATTTGAATTGCAAAAAAACATCTCCAGCAGTTTGCAGTCTTCCATTCCTCAGACAATGAGATATTGCCTTAAGTTATAGGCACATACAACAAACAAAGCTCACAGTAGGTTTTCCCTTTGATTTATATTGCATCCAGTCTGTTTCTCAAATAGAATTATTATTTTCATAATTACACCTAATGATACTAGTTTATAGTTTGTGCTGAAATCATCTCAAATGCCTCTTACACATTTTATTGATAAGCAAGGTAAAACAATACTACTACTACTTATGATAAAATAAAGACAAAACACACAAATAATAACTACTATTGACCTACTAATCGCTAAGAAATCGACTGTAAGCTTCCTTGAAGTGAAGTGAAACGAATATTTTCTATTTCATTATGTTTGATTTTGTCCACTTGGGGGTGCCAAAGCAATATTAAGGCCCGGGTACACGCGCTCACACACATGCACACTCATAGGAACACAAACACTCTGTGAACTGTGTGGGAATGCACTGACTTTCTCAGTAGTTTTCATGCTTTGTTGCGTTTTTGCACAGCTTTACCTCATCCTCCTCCTCTGATCCCCCAGGTGACGTTCCGCTTCCCTGCAGCCTGGCTCACCATGTTTGACGCAGTGCTCATCCTCATGCTGATTCCCCTTAAGGACAAAGTGGTGGACCCCATCCTGAAACGCCGCGGCCTGCTGCCTTCCTCTCTGAAGAGGATCGCAGTGGGGATGTTCTTTGTTATGTTTTCGGCCGTGGCGGCGGGTGAGTGTAAAAACAGACATGTCCTCTCTACGCTGTCACATAAGTAGGCCAAACACACGCTAATGAAACAGCTAAGTTAGTGCTTGCGGTAAATGCCACTTGCAATCAGTACTTTCAAGGCAACGAGCAATGCATTTGTAGAACCACAGTTACATCATTTATTAATTTCAATTCTAAATACTGCCTTTGTCAGACTTTGGAAACATGGTACTAAAATATCAGTTCCTCACCAACAGTGAGAATACAGTATTGCTGCTAAAGTATGATTAGATTCTCTTAAATGAAGGGTTTGTTTATTGTGTTATATTTTGCTGTGGGATTCAGCAGATGGTCTGTCACAGATGTATTCATACATCACATTCCACCTAGCAGAGGGAAAGCGCGCCCTGCAGAGCACAGGGGGAGCTGTGGCATCTTACCTTTGGGTCCCGAGTGACTTCAGGCGACTGCGGCAGAGCTGCTCAGTCCTATTAACTTTCAGACTGAAGATTATTTTATAAATAAAAGTCTCAGCTATGCCTGTCAGCGTTGCTGCTGCATTGATATATCTAGGCTAAAATGATTTGAGAGAGACAAGCTTGGGGCAGGAAGAAAGCAACTAGGTAACACTCCTGAAATCAATGCTCATTATATTACCCACAACCTCTGCCCTTTCTCTGATACACAATGCGTCTGCCACAGAATATGGACACGTTCTGTCATTAGTGACCTTTTAGATATTGACTGGTGTGCTTCACCCAGATTGCCAATTGTCTGTTAATGATGCACTGAATCACATTTGACAACCATTATGAAGGATAATTCAATTTTATAAAGGGTTTATTAAATATTTTGTTCAAACTAATTACAATGCGGATACATTAGAGGACATTTGTCTAACACTTAAATACAGCAAATAATGTGATCTGACTTAATTCTACATCACTAATGTTTGTTACACTGCTTTATAATGATCTGAATGCAATTTTATTGAACCTTTTTATAATAGCTATTAGAGGTCTGAGCAGCCGTGTTTATTGTTTCAAATGATTTTACAAAGTGCTTTTTGAGTCCAGATCGAAAAGCAATTTTGAATGTGTGAGCTGCATGAACACACTTTTTGCAACAAGAACACTGGAGCCGCCAGATAAGATGATACTTACCGTATGTGTCCTGTCATACTCACAATCTGCTAGTGCTCTGAATCCTCATCAGCATAAGTAGGTTATTCATCTCTATAGTCATCTGACAGCAGAATGTGTAAAAGGCCATATGGTATAAAGACCAATACGTATAATACACAGTGTTTAAATGTGTTTTTATATCGATCTAAGAAGAAGCATTTTTCCATATATGGTAAAAGTTCATGTAATAATGACATTAACAGTCTTTTTAATCAGCTCTAATCCAAGTTAGTTCTCATATTAGTAGTGGCTGATTAAAGCAGCGGAATATAGAGTTAGTGGTGAGTATGATATGTAGTGCCATGCCGAATAATTTCACTTAAAGGGGACCTATTATGCAAAATCCACTTTTTGATGTCTTTTATACATTAACATGTGTCCCCTCTGCGTAAAGAGATTCTGAAAGTTTCAGGAAAAAATATTCTCTCACTTTTTGTCCTGATCCATTTATATAAAAACCTGTCTGAAAATGAGCTGATCAGATTTTGGCCACTTTATGATGTCATAACGATTTTTTGCTTGTGTAACCATTAGCCAATCACCAACCAAGGTAACCCCCCCCCCCCCCACCTTTTCACCTGAATCTCCTCCTAGAGCACCATTGTGTTCTTTTTAACCAAATATCTCTCAGAGGGGCGTGGGGAGTGGCTCCTTATTTTCATCTAAAGTAACAGACAGAGAATCAGCACTTTTGAAACAGGGCTGAAACAGAGGGGATTATGGGATGCTACAATGATCTGTTTGATATTTCGAGGCAAACACTTCAGAGACATGTTTTGTATATATCTGAGACCTATAATATATTGATGAAAAACAGTATAATAGGGGACCTTTAAGTTTTAAACCTACTGCATGTAGAACACTTTATAATTGTAACACTGAGTCAGTAGTAGGAGACAGTAGAAATATGACATTTTCACATTGTCTTAATCCCTGACTTTTTTAATAGAGGCACTGCTTTTGCTGCAAGGATATCAACTCTTGGAAATCTTGAAATAAAGAACACTTAACTGCAATGGTGGCAGGTGACCTACTTTTTTACCTGCCAAAGCTTATCGGGTGCTAGTTGCATTACATGGTTGGAATTGATGATCCATGAATTAAGATAAGAGCTACCTTTTGAAATATCTGTGTGCTGTCTGTGGGTGTTGTTGTGGTTAAGAGAGAGGAAAAGGCTGCTGGACTACTGCTCTTATCCTTTTGCCTCACTTTATATAAACATGGGGAAGAAGAGATGAGAAAGTTTGTTGAGTGAGAGTCTTGTGATGTTCTAGCGAATTATTAAAGGCTGACTTAGCCCATCAAAAACATCCTTTGCAATCAGAGAGATGTGGTGAAAGGTCTATGAACCAAATCTAATGTGTCTACTTTTTCACTTTAAAGTCATATTTTCTTTTCAGGAGACATGAGCAGTCCTGGAAGAAAAGGTGCTCCAACATGTTCTTTTTATGATGTTCAAATGTTATTTAGGTATTTACTTTTCCATTTGGCTTCCTGAAAGAAAGTGCAGTCCTTGCAGTTGAATTTGGGATAAATACATTCTAAATATTGCGGAAAGCAATTTTGGGTTCTCGGAGTGGAGAGAAGGGGTTTAAAGTGGTGCAGTGGTGTGGCCATTGGTCACAGAACAGTAGGTGAACACACCGCTAGTGAGGACCACAGTACTGACCTGGATTTTATAAATGTACTGTTATTGAGATACACCAATAATTATATTGTATCTGCACCTTATTTGAACAATTATTCATCCCATGATTATTTGCTGAGCCCGTGCGCCCTGTATCCCTTGCATTGCCTTGCTTCACATTAATTCAGTCACACACATTGACTCCTGGCTGCTGCCTTACAATTTTATAATTTTTTTGAAGGGCAATTTCCTCAGATGGTTTTCTGTGTGTCCCCACTGCTTATCTGCATCTGTCCAGTCGCTGAAATCATGTTGTGTTCAGAGACTGAAAGATGGATAGGTGTGAATGACCGAGTGTGGCATCTTTTGCCAGAAAAGAGCTAGACCAACACATTGCATTGTCAGCCCGCCACTTTGTGTCCACAACATTGGCCACACCGCTGCTGTTGAGAGTTAGAATCACTTTCATAACCATGTTCAACAAACATGCATGAATGTGTCATGATGTCATGGTTGCAGGGATATTTCACAGGGTTTCATCGCGCCCGCTGTCACACGCCTGGCACGAGGACAGCTGGACCTCGTAGTGCAGAGAGACAGCTGAAGACATGCTGTCAGACGGACTGTTTCTGATCCGCTCTTCATTTGTGAACAACAATCAGCCACATACTGAGGCCTGCTCTGAAAAGCTGTGCTGACACTGCTTCTGAAGAGTTTTTTTCAAACATGTTTTATCACATTCTCTTAACTTCATATACTAATCTGCTTTAGCTAAAGCTCAACGGCTTTTAGGTGTCCAAAAGCATCTTTATTTATTTTTTTATGAAAAGCTGTAGCAGAGTTGCCAGGGATCACACTGGCTGTGTGATGTTTATAAGCAGGGGTGTGTGTTTATAGTGTGGCTCTTGCTCTCAGCAGCCCAGTGGCCACACTGCTTGAGATGGACGGCTGGTATTATAGGATAGTCGGATTACAAGGCTACTACTTCTCTCAAGAACAGCATTAAGTGTAGTTATGATAGGAAGCTGTCTCTGGGAGTTATCTGGAAATAGCCTCTGGTTACATGATAATAGCTCTATCGAATAAAGCTTTTAGGAGGCGGCAGCGGTTGATGACAACTGCTAGCCTCTTATTATAAAACTGTCTGCACTGTTCCATAACCAACTGCCATAGTATGGAAGCGTGCAGATGTGATCTTAATGAAGCGTTCGGGTAGCCTTAAAACGAGTTAAATGCTTAACGGACTGGCACTAAGTCCTCTGCAAGTGTTTGGATGTTTGTTGGTGTCATGGACTTTAAATACCTTAGCAAGTGTCTCTTAATCCTGACAAGTAATATACAAGCCTTTAGATTCACCCGTGGCCCTGTTTGCATCTTTAAATTAGTATGTATGTTGCAGAATTTTCCTTATAAACATGTGTGTACGGAGGTCTTTTAGAGAACAACGCTTTGTCAAATTCTTCTTACATTTACACTCTGCTAACTATGCTTATCTGCATTTTGTTTTTGTCCCCTCAGGTATTTTGGAAACAAAACGCCTGGAGATCATCAAATCAAAGGGTACCATTGACCAGGTGCTTGGCAATGTTACCTACCACGCTGCAGATTTACCCATATGGTGGCAAGTGCCTCAGTATGTGCTGATAGGAATCAGCGAAATCTTTGCCAGCATTGCAGGTAAAAGTTGTTTGACATCTCCTGTGTGATTTAGCACCCACAGCGTATAAGACATGATGATTCAGACCAACAGTGAAATACAATATCCTCCTCTGATTAGCCTCATGAGTGGGGCTGCTCTGATTAACCTTCATACCGAGCTGCTCTGAATGGATTGTGGGCTCAAAACCGTAATGCCCATTCTCCTAAGCAGTTTGCAATGAAGACTAATGTTTATAATCTTTTTGAACATTTGTTTGATTCATTGCCTTCACCGGCATAATGTGTTTGTGGCTTGTAGTCCAGAGTAAAAAGCACAAGAAGTCGATTGATAATTGATTATACCAAATTTCTCTCACCCCAGCAAGACATTATTCAGTAAAGGGACATTTTATAAATACAGAGTGTATAAAGCAAACTTTTCAAATTTGGAAATGACGATGCAATCTATGACTTCGCCCCCGTTTGTAACCCGCAGCACATTGCAGTCCAAACAAATGCTAGATAACAGATAACTAAGGGCACTCGGAGAGCACAGATCTCCGCCAAGGCAAATAGTTCAGTCTTCCATGCTACAGTATGCATATCTGCAAGCCCCACAACTACGTCTACTCTGGATATATTTCCAAAACTATCACAATTAGGTCAAAATAGTTTCATCCCGCTGAAGCCTCATCATCTTGGCTGTGCATTTATAAAAAACACAAAATACTCTATCATCTACATATGTAGACACATCATATGCCTAGACTGAAATAACATGAACATGAACGCTTATTATCAAAGGAGTAACTATATGTTCACAACAACAACAAATGTAGAATCTGGAAAACAATGCTACTTGCTTGCAATGTACTTTATTGTACCTGTAAGAAAATCTGTTCTGGACTGAGGGTAAAGTCACAGTGGTAACACAATTAGCTTCACAACATGTTCAGGCCGCTGCTGAGTTGACATTTATCACTATATACTTAAATATACACCAGCATAATGAAACAATATCTCCCACACTAAATCACGCTCGAGAGACATAAAACTGACAAATTGTCGTGGCAAACACTTAATTAAAAGTTCAACTCTTAATTATCCAATTAGCACGCTTCTCCAGCTGACACAGTGCTCATAGAAATATATTACACAGAAAACAATGACACGTTTAATTATCAGTCCAGCAGGGTGCTGACAGTTACACTTGTGTGTAGTCCAAATAGGCACATTTTTTATTTTTATTTATTTTTATTTTTTTTATTTAACCTTTATTTAACCAGATAAAAAACATTGAGACAAAATCTCATTTTCAAAGTATTTTTATTATAATGATGCTACTCCCCCTTTAAGAGGCATTATACTAAACTGTAGTCCCTGACTTACTCTAAAGCTAACAGTACATTACAGAGCTTCGGCTCATTGATTAGCAAGATTGCCTACAAAGGCCCAATACAAGCAGATATTGCTTCCATTGTCTAAAAGTTATATAACAAATCTGCAGGTTAACATATTTTACTGTAGACTAAATCACAAACACATTTTGATTCATCTGTCTTTTGGTATATTTGTCGTAGCAGCAACAATTTCAAAGGCAGGTATCTAAGAACCAAAAATCAAAACTATGTTCAGACTTCTATATATACAGTCTATGGTCTAGTCTTAGGTTTTGTATAACCCTTCTTTCTATTCACATTTTCTTAACCTTAGAAGATACAGTATTTTGTTATGTTTGATATATTTGTGATACCTTCGATAGTCTATGTACTACAGGAGATAGATTATCATAGGAGAATTTATTATAAAAAAAGTCAGAATTCTAAAACTTTGTTTTAGCACTTGGGCCAACTTTTCACACCAGCAGGTCTGATTTGAATTTAAAGTTGTGTAACTGTCGCTGCTCAGACGATTCATCTCAGTAAATATAATTCAAAGACACAGGCTCATCAATTTGAGGCTACGCATAATCCTTCACTGGAAATGTAGCAGTGTTTGCTTTCCCTGGAGAAATAAATTCCCTGTTCTTCTCCGGAAAATGATTAAAAAGAAAAGCATTGAATCAGAGCAGGTCAGAATAGTTCATGCCGGAACTGACAGCTGCAGTCTTCTTTTTGAGACTTTCAGGGTTACCAGGCGAAAACTGCTTAGCAAGCAGGCTCCATTTCTCTTCTTTTTTGTGTGACCATGGCCTAAACAGGAAATTTCATTTAATTAAAAGCTTTGAAAAGTAAGGCCACATTGTTCCAGTTATACAATAATGTGACAAAGTGAGAAATTGCTTTAATGCTATATCAAATAGGGACTGCAAAAAAAAAAAAAAAATGGATAGAAAAGCAACAGTATTGTCCTTTTACTAAAAGAGGTTGTCAGATAGAAAGTGTGTAATATAGAAAAACTGAAATCTTCCCTGTATTGTGTTTATCTTTTGTGTGACTATTTTTTTCTTTTCTCCCTTCATGTATTTTTCTCTAGAGTCATGATCGTTGCTTCAGGCCTCAGTTATCTAGTGATTTGAGTTTGTTAAAGCCTCGAGCTATGATTGAGTCATCCTCCTCGTACTATAGGTCATGCTGTAGTTGTTTTTTCTATAGCAATCGCTTTACTCTATATAAATAGTGCTGATTGAACTATTAATATTTAAGACTTATTATTGGAGGTATTAGCAAGCGGATCCATTCACTGCAGGGTGTTTCTGCGACTGAACGTCTACATTTGATATCCACAAGTTTAAGATCCATGGATACTGAAATGTGTTTGATTAGCTCGGGTATTATAAGGTCCTTGAACAGAACTAGATTTTGCACAACTATCCGGGTCTCTAAAAAGTCAAATCCAGACATAACAAAGCTAAAGGGAGCCTTAAAATAAACGTACTTTCTCCTCTCCCTGCATACCATCCCACAGGGCTTACTTGTACGAAAATTGGCGGAAAGAATTGTGACATATGTCTGGTTTAGAGGAATATTCCCTCTAGTCTCCTTTTGTTTGAATAAATCTGTTTAAAACCTCTGGTGACACCAGACTTTGCTGCACTCCTTGTTTTGCTTGTACACCACCCAAGTGTGTCTGGTTTCAGGATAAGAGAATATACAATATTTTTTTTAATGATACTTAGTATTTAAACTCTGTTTTGCATGTGTGAAAGATATTAAAGGTTAATGTTACTTTCTAAGAAAAAAATCAATACTATATATAATAATAGTGCCCTTGTTGGGTATTGGAAAAAAGTATATGAACATTTGAAATTGCATTCATTTTTTATTTCCCCTTTTTTCCGTCAAAGAAAGGTCAAGCTCACTGTGGTTGTTTCTTGAATAATTATAGTTATTGATGTTAGAATGTTAGTCTGTATTTTCCCTTTACTGTGAGGAGTGGTATCTGAGAATCCTCACCAACCTTTGTTAGTCTCCTGTGACTATGGCTATTGACGAGTGTTCCTTTGCTATCAAAAGGTTAGCTAAGGATATAAACAAATGTATCGCTGTGAACTTTTGGAAAGGGGATCATGCTTTCCACTGAGTCAAAACCTCATATTTGCCATTCCCTTATCTCAGTCCTTTTTCTTCTGACGTTTTTTCTTTGCAAAACTACCACAGGTATAAGTAAGGTAACTGCTCATCACATTCATTTGTGCAATGTCCCCCTCCAAGGAAGGTCTTGAAAGGCAAATGTATTTAACAGCAGTTTCCTAATCTCTCCAGACAGATGTAGCTATAGGGCCTCATTTCAAAAATCACATGTTTGAGGTGCCATGAAATTATCAATGTCAGCTTGCAGGCAGACAGATCTCTAGGCGAAAGAGACACTTATTTGATGTTTTTAGCCCATCATATTTTTCCTTAGGTCCCCTGCCCATTTTCTTAGTCCTTTCCTTTCTTTCATGACTAAGTAAATACTGAGTGATGTGTTTTCCAGAAATCACTGCTTTGTGAGATCAGTACTAAGCTGAGTAGTTCCAAACAAGGCCAACACAGACCAGTGCCACTATTATAATTAAGATGCCAAAGCAGCTGTCGAGAAATGTTTTTGGTCTCACTTACAAAATGCTAAAAGGAAACTAGTGATTGTCAACAAACAATCTAAATAGAAATCGTATTCTACCCAAATATGTAGTGGTGCCTTGCTGGCTCCACTGTCAGAGGCATGAACTGGACAGTATATTTTTGGGAGTGTTTGACTAAATAACATGATATTACAGGTTACATTACACTTTTATTGGATGTACATTTCTACAATGTTATACCCAACAATCTAACAAATACCTAATGTTACTGTTTTCGTTGAAGGTCTGGAGTTTGCCTATTCTGCAGCCCCCAAGTCCATGCAGAGTGCCATCATGGGACTTTTCTTTTTCTTCTCTGGGATTGGCTCCTTCGTGGGCTCTGGTTTGTTGGCTATTGTCTCCCTCAAGGCGATTGGCTGGATGTCATCCCACAAAGACTTTGGTAAGAGATCACAGTAACTTATACACTCATTATATGTGCAGTCACTGTTGCTAACCAGACAAGAGGTTCAAATAATAACTAATGAAAACCAATATCTATATGTTTTTAACCAATGGATTGAATAACTATATGTCACATTAAATATATTTTTTTCACCTGCCTCCTATGGCCTGCAACATGTTTTGGATCAGTCTGATGGTTCAAATATATAGATTTTTAGCACACTAGTAGCAGCCAAAGAGGCAGATATGTTCCTAAAGTGATGGTGGATACCAAACAGAGCTAAAAGGAGAATGAATACAGTATGTGGTCAGAACACAACTCATATTTAATAATAACACTGATTAATCTGTTAATTTGCAAATGTTTCCTTGTTTTGCAATAGCCCATTTAAAAGCTCTTACATCGTTTGATCTATTATCATTGTATATCACTTCCATAATGGGAATCATGACTTCGTATGCATGTAAAACAATCGTCTGTACTTAAAATATAATGCTACTCTCTTCAAAATATCTCCACGAGACAGGGATGGTTGATCGTTACTCGTAGTTTTCTCAGGGCTGTCCACCATCCCCCCCAAACTGAGCATTACAGTTGTCGACCCTGCTGTTAGATGCTCAGAGCATGTAGAGTGCACTATTGACTTTGCACATTGACTGTATGTATGTACTCGTAATAGAATTGTTGGTATCGATTCATTTACTGCTCAAGGTGTTATTTATTTTTTAGGCACGTACCTTAAGAATGCTCCCAGCTTGTGCAGATTTAAAATGCACTTAAAGGTACTGTAGGGTAGGTAAGTTGGAGAAACCGGCTCGATATCGCTAGAATTTGAAAATACACAACCGGAGAAAATCTCCCACTTCCTTACAGAGCCCCTCCTCCAACACACACGAATGCGCACATGACCAATGAGGGCACGAGATAAGTTTGTGCACAGATGGAAGGCTGACAGGCAGGTAGGCCATCCAGTCATTTTAGCCGGGCCGGCTAAAATGATTGGTCGTGCTTTTTACAGTACTACGGCTTCCACAGATGACATTTTTTAATGGATTTTTTTGTCAAAGCACTTAAGATATTCATTGCTATCGGAATGTTAAGAGCATTCCATGGAATATAACAAAAAGTGTATCTCGAGCCGGTTTCTCAAACTTACCTACCCTACCTTTAAAGAGTTTGTAAATTAGACGCAGTGAGAGAAGAGGGAGGGAGGGGGGACGACAACACATAGGGCAGTTCTCTTGTTTTAAGAACGTTTCCTATAATAAATAGACATGTCAGGCTAACGACAAAAGGTTTGTGTAAATCTGTCCAAGTGGTAGAATAAATAGTGTGGTGGTGGCAGCAGATGGATGGGCTCCCTAGCGAGAGGAGGCTTCCAAACCCAGATGCACTTTTCCCTGAGCATGCGGTAAATAAGCCAACACTGTAAATTGTTTACCCTCAAACACCTAATAGCTCATTAATACAGTTTGCCGACAGTTAGGGAGGTACTTTTGATGATGTTAGCACTGGAAGATGCTTGGCACGCTCCATAAATCCATCCCTTGCTCAGCCTGGCTTCACTTGAGGGGCAGTTAAACTAAAGTTGGATTGTGGATGTGTTTTTGCTTTCCAAAAACAAGTCATTTAAAAGGTGAGCTGCAGAAATGGAACAAAACATGCTCCTGGCCACCAATAAAAGACACACAGCACAAAGCTTAGGCATTAAGTACAGTCAGTCAGGAATCATGCGGCTTGTTTTTGTGTCTGTTTCTCACAGTTTGTCGGATTTTAGCTTCTTCCACATCTCCTGGCTCTCTAGGTGAAATGAATTCAACTTATTTCCATGGCTGCAGGCGAAAAGGGTGTGCAGTAAACAGCATCTTGGGTGAGCTGTGCTAAGTTGTACTGAGCTGTACGGGCCTGAAGACAGATGAGCAACATTAATCACAGGCTGGGGGTCTGATTACATAGCCCTGGATCTCTTAAGTAAAGCTGTCCCTGGAGCATTACATTGAGATGGCACTGCTCGTCTGACATCACACTGGATGCTCAGCTCTCTCTGTCGCACTGTTGCTCCTTCTCTCCCTGCTTTGCACTTACCGATGTTAGTCAGAATCCGTGAAGGTTTTGAAAGTCTGTCATTTGTTGCGGTGCTACCTGCTGGTTTGGAAATTAGGAAAAATAAGTCACAAATTCTTGGTTTTGTAAAGGATTGCAGAGAACATCGGCCCCAAGGAATGCACAACACCACATGGCCTGTGTGATAATGAAGTCTGGAAAGAGGTGCAAATAGGAATTAAAGAGGCCCTTTTTGCTTTTGGAGTTATCCTTTTCATGTAGTGTGTTAGGAGGTGTTAGTGCATGTAAATGGTCTGCAAAGGCTAAAATCCCAAAGTTCACACCAGAGGGAGTTTTTCTCCCACACACAAAAGGCTAGGGGGGGCAATCGGTGAACTGTTGGATGTTTCTATTTGTTGTTGGTAAGATGCATGCGAGTGAGATGTATGTTTAAATCCATTTATTTTGTATTTGGACGTTAGAACTGCACATGAGTGATTTAATTTTTGAGTGTGTCTCCTTGGGACAATTTAAATTATAACCAGTTGATGCTAATGGTCCAAAGATCCTATTGCAGTTATGTTGTAGCCTATTGGCTCAACTCTACTGTGTCCTCAATTATGAAATACAGTAAAAGTATTTAAAAATATTCAACATAATATATCCAGCAAATCCTCAATTTACACCCCATTCACAAGAAACACTTTATACATGTATAATGAATATAGGTTTAGTAGTTCTAATACTGAACTAAAAAAAATATATATATATATATATATATATATATTTGCATATACAGAGCATAAAGCACAGGACATGGAAAATGACATTGATCCGGTAAACAACTTACTGAACAATATCAACAACAGCTGCAACTATTTCACAGAAGAGCAATTCAATGTAACGTGTCAATCAGAAGAGAACATATCAATTATCCACTTCAATAGCAGAAGCCTATATGCCAACTTCCTCAACATTAAAGAATATCTAAGTCAGTTTAAGAACCCATTCAACATCATAGCAATATCAGAGACCTGGATCAGTGCTGAGAAAGGTGTGGACTTTGAGATGGATGGCTACGAACTGAATCATACAAACAGAAGGAATAAGAGTGGAGGGGGTGTGGCAATCTATGTGGATAAAGGAATGAACTATAAGGTGGTGGAGAGCATGACAACAGCTGTTGACGATTTGTTTGAATGTGTTACAGTAGAAATTTGTATGGAAAAGTCTAAAAATGTTATTGTGAGTTGTATATACAGAGCTCCTGGAACCTGTATTGACACATTTACAGATGGGGTAGAAAACATGTTTACTAAATCATTACAAAAAATTATGTTTATCTGTGGGGATTACAATATTGACCTGTTGAATCCAAATAAGCATAACATGACAGAACACTTCATCAATACATTGTACAGTATGGGTTTGTATCCTAAAATTACCAGACGTAGTAGAATCACTTCTCATTCTGCTACATTAATAGACAACATATTCACAAACATTATGGAAAACAATACAGTAGGCGGACTATTATACAGTGACATCAGTGATCATTTACCTGTTTTTATTGTCTATCACTGCAGTTCTAAGAAACCTAAAGTCGCCAGCCATTTCAAATACAAAAGATTGAGAACTGAAGATAACATAATTGCATTTAAGAATTACTAAATCAGAATTGGAGGGTAGTATATGAGAGAGACGATATTGACAAGGCCTATGATGAATTTCTAAACATTTGAAATCACTTTATGACAAAAACTGTCCTGTGAAACAATGCAGAGAGAGACACAAACAAACTCACAGTGCATGGATCACTAATGGCCTAAAAAATGCCTACAAAAAGAAAAATACACTATATAGACAATTCATAAAATATAGAACTTCAGAAGCAGAAAATAAATATAAAAGATATAAGAATAAATTAACCCATATTCTGAGGATATGTAAAAAAGAATACTATAATAAAATATTAGAGAATAATAAGAATAATATGAAAGGTTTATGGAAAGTATTAAATAGTGTCATTAGAAATGGAGCAAAAAGTTCAGGTTACCCTGAGTTTTTTGTGGACAAAAATAATGTTATTAATAATACAGAAGATGTGGTTAATGGTTTTAATGAATTCTTTGTAAATGTGGGGCCAGATCTGGCAGAACAAATTAAAACCGTAGAAACAACTAAAGGGGAAGATACGGACCTCTGGAATGAAAACAATAGCTCTTTCTTCCTCAGAGCAGTCGAAGAAAAAGAAATCATAGATACTGTGCGAAAATGTAAAAACAAATCCTCGACCGATTGGAATAATATTGATATGATTATAGTAAAAAACATTATTGAAGAAATTGCAGAACCATTGACTCATCTCTTTAACTTGTCTTTTCAATCTGGTAAATTCCCAAATAAAAGTTATACCATTATATAAAACTGGGGATAAACACCATTACACAAATTACAGACCTGTTTCATTGCTCTCTCAGTTTTCCAAGATCCTTGAAAAGCTTTTTACAAAAAGACTTGACAGTTTCATGGAAACACATCAGCTTTTGGACGACAGTCAATATGGATTCAGGAAAGATAGATCAACATCTATGGCACTAATGGAATTAAGTGAGGAAATAGCAAACTGCATGGACAATAAAAAACAAGCAGTGGGAATATTTATAGACTTGCAAAAAGCATTTGACACCATGGATCACAATATTTTACTGATAAAACTGGAACGGTGGGATTAGACTGGGTGAGAGATTATTTAAGCAACAGACAACAATTTGTTGAAATTGGTGAACATAAATCAGAATCCATGAAAATAACTTGTGGAGTACCTCAGGGGTCCGTGTTGGGTCCAAAGCTGTTCATAATATACATCAACGACATTTGCAGAGTATCAAATATATTGAAATTTATTTTATTTGCAGATGACACTAATATTTTTTGTTCCGGTGACAATTTGA